ATATATATATATATATACTTTGTAAAATGTCGATGCTTTCCGCTAGTGGATAACTTCGTTTTGCGACCAATTCTTCATAAAATTTCGCTTATCTCCCACTCTAAGGCGCTAACTTCGCATCGTATCGATTTTCCGTGGCGCCACCTCGCCTCGTTCGTCGATCTTCTCTTCGTCTTATTCAACATTGCATTCTCTTCGTTTGTTTCCAGATCCCAGGGTGAATGATTGGGTGATGATGAGCAGTCCCCTCCCGACCGTGGTGATATGCCTGTCGTACGTTTACTTTAGCAAGGTTCTGGGACCGAAGCTGATGGAAAACAGAAAGCCTTTCGATCTCCGGGGGATCCTCATAACGTATAATCTCCTACAGACCCTCTTCTCCACGTGGATATTCTACGAGGTTTGTTTCCCTCTTATCACCGATGATGTCTGTTTACGTTATTTCTAACTACGAAGGATTTGTCTTTGCTAGAAAGATTAGCGTAGCTTCGCGTAACACGCGTAAACACGCGATGCGGAAACGTTTTGAAGTATAAAATTGTACGGGAAGATAAACAGGTGAAGAAAAGCTGTAAAAATTCTCGTTTATTTACTGTTATTAAAGGATGCCTTCATACTTGAAAACTTGACCGACAAAATACTGATTTTTTTGTAAAATTTACGTTTTACCGGTTGTACAGAATTATAAATGCTTTTTCAGAGCGAAAGTACACGCGAAAATAAATTGGAGCATTGCTTAGTAAATGGCAAAAATGGTTAAACATTTCTAAGTGGCATCTCTAGCTGTCAGTAACGTAAATATTTGCCTGACACAGAAATATTGCAGCTTACCGGATGTGTCAGTGCTCCAATCGGGGAAATTTCAAAGAACATTTATATATTTTTTCGATTAAATTTGGAGGCCTAAAAGATACGAAAGTTTGCGGACAAATTTTTGTAATTCTTAAGTAGATTTTTCGTTAGATACAGTAAAACAGGGTAGCACACTTATCGCGTTCATATTTATATCGCACTTACATATACGTAATATTTATATATATGAGAAATCTAAAAAATGTAACATAATCGTGTCAATGTTTGTTTAACATGTTGAGAATCGTATCTACGTTATGCGTTACTACGTTTATCAATGTTTATTAATTTCGTCATCGAACTTTGACATTATCCTCTTAATGAAACATTGTGAAAATGCAGCACATAAGTGAATCTCTGACGCAAGATAATAAGTAACAGAATTGATAGTCATGAGGGATTTGATTATCTTTTCGTGGCGAGGTTGTTTTCAATTAACCCACCTCCGCGTTTCAACGGTCAATAACTGCAGTCGGCAGTGGCCCAGTTTGGATAGGCAACAATACGATATTCTTTATTGAGAAAGGGGGAGGTGGAGAGAAAGGGAGGGAGGGAGAGAGAGAGAGAGCTCATAGAAGATCTGTGAGAAACAACAGAAACTTTGGACTTGCACAGCCCATTTATGAAAATTGCCAAAAACATTCGGGGATGAATAGCCGTTCGCTCTTTTAGATACAAGCGGCGAGTAAATCGCGTTTTTTCTCCCTTTTCCTTTATTGCGTCCTTTAAGTTACTCGTGTTTACACCGGTCTGGAGAATAATCTATAACGTCTAGAGGAGTAAGCTTAGAATATTTAGACGAGAGTTCAACGGATACACGGCATGTCTCTGTGATATTCGTCTACTACCGAACAAGCCCTTTCTCGTCGGCATCGAATTACACATTTAGCTCGCGATCGAAATCTTCCTGTTGTTTTCCCGTAGCGTATTCGTGATCATGATACGCTCGGACGGAATAACAGCCACGAGATTTGACGAGAAATACGGCCGATTTACGACATCGATCACTAATCGGACGCAGACGGAAATTACAATTGTATCGTGGTATGTCCACGTGTCGCGGTATTACGGCCGGTAATTGCAATGCGACGACTTAATTAAGTGTATATATTTACAAGTAAAAACGCGTGCATATTTTACGTAATAGGATCGGAATATGTTTCGCAACAGAATATCTTCTCTCTGTGTGTGTGTGTGTGTGTGCGTGCGTGCGTGCGTGCGTGTGTGCGTGCGTGCGTGTGTGTATGTGTGTGTGTGTGTCCTGCTTTAGATTTATGAATTCCGTCCTCTTAGCCTCAACTGCCTTTCCTGTTATCGCGAGACGCAATTAAAGAGAAAAAAATAATGAATGATGTTCTAACGTTCTGACGTTGTAACATAAATAGAAAGCAGGAATTGATTTATCCTTCTCTTCGTCCTTGAGTATGTACAACTTATTCTCGATTCGGGAACAGAGTCGAATTTCTTCATGGTCGATTTTGAAGAAACGACAATCGAATCTGGCTCACGGTCAATATTGCGCACGCATATCACGATACAGTTATGCGCGTGCGAACGCGTGGCCGCGCGCGAAAGTAACCGGAATCTCGTCACATCGAAGAAGACGGGTCACGAAGGCGCTCATCGTAATACATGCCACGTTCCTCGAAAGAACGCGAAGACAATTTGAATTTGCATTTACTCCCATTTTGTGTAAATTAATAAAAAAGATACGTGAAAGAAAGAGAGATAGAGAGAGAGAGAGAGATATTTTCTCCTTCGCCTTCTAATATCGACCGGTGGGTACACTTTCCGTTCGACGGAAATCACTGAATTTCATCGTCAAACTTGTTCAAACTTCCTAAGTCAGTTTTTACGCATACAAATCGATCGCTCAGCAGGTTCTATATTTTATTTGCAAATGTTCACAGAGATGTGCCACACTCTTTCCTTTCTGAGCCGGCTCGAGCAATAAGCGAACTTCATTGAATTTAAATGACGTCCGTGAACACGCTACGATGTTCACATCAATTTATACCGTTTAGTTTACGATACTCGTTTCACTTTCACGTCAAACACCGCTTAATTAAAACGACTTACTTCCGTGTTAAGATAGATGCTTCGAAAGAGACGTGTCGAGTTTTAGTGACGAGTTTTTCGATGATTTAAAAATTGCGTTCCATTCAGTTAGATCAAACGGGGGATAGATTATTATTCCTTGCATTTATTTATAAGTCTCCAAATTCCTTCTATTCAATATTTTTTTCCTCTCAATTCATGAAAATTATTCTGGAATAACAAGAATATGATATTTTTAGTGGAATTATATAAAATTATATATATATATATATATATATAAGAGAAAGTTTTATTTTCATATAAGATTATATATATATATTCTTGCTTATATATGAAAATATGAATCTTGAATTGATACTCCTTTTTTCTTTGTAACAAAGCACAGGAGGAAAGACATGTTCCTATATATATATTAAATTACTGAATAATTTTTTTATTTTTCCATGTGTACGATTGAGTAAAACAAAGCAATCTATATTATTATTAACAATATTGAAAAGAAATTTAGCATTTGCTAATAGTCCATGGTACTCCAACGTTTGAATGTTGAGGGCATGCAAAATTCCCATACAGTCGTGACCGCATTCTCATAGATGATCCGAATTTCCAATATCTGAAAAATTTATGTCGCATAGTTTCAATTTGTCTGATATATCCTGTTTTGTTCGGGAACTATGTGACGTTAGCATATTCCAGCGTGTGAACGAATCAATGATAAGTAATAATCCAAGCGTAGCAAGTTGTTTGAAATCACGCAAGAATCGTTTAATAAAACCGAATAATTAGGCGCAAATGGCTTCATTTATATGTAATGTATACGATCACTAAAAGTCTGCAATAAATCCCGTATTTCATCAATAATAACAAGAAAACGGCAGCTCATCAATTAAACATGGAAAGTTTATCAAGGCACAAGAACAAAGAAAAACATTGACATATGACATTATGTAATATTGAAATAATAACTAGTTCGTCAATCGCGATTACAAATTGTAATTAAATGCAATTGTGTGATAAATTGCAAATATATGCAAATTCTTTGAAAAGACAAAAATGAAAACAAGAAGGAAAATTATATTAAGTTTTCGGAAGAACTGAAGAGGGAAAAAACGATTAAAAAGTAACGAATATTAATCAATATTTTTTTCTCGTATCCTGAGCATATACGAGGGCAGTCCGATAAGTACTTAGCCTACAAAGAAAAACGAAAATTTTGGAAAAGTGGCGATTTATTTCTCAACATAGTCTCCTTTTAGCTCGATACACTTGACCCAGCGATGCTCCAACTTCTTTAACCCATCTGAAAATCATCGGTTTTCTCGAAGTCTGCAAAGTAGGCCTCCGTGGCGGCGATAACCTCCTCATTTGGCCAAATTGGTCGAATTGGACTACGAACTGCTGCCCCACCGTATTCTCCAGATTTGGCCCTGTGCGACTTTTTTTTGTTTCCAAACTTGAAAAAGTCACTCGTCGGGCAGAAATTTGAGTCGAATGAGGAGGTCATCGCCGCTACGGAGGCCTTTGCAGACTTCGAGAAAACGTATTTTTCAGATGGGTTAAAGAAGTTGGAGCATCACTGGGTCAAGTGTATCGAGCTAAAAGGAGACTATGTTGAGAAATAAATCGCCACTTTTCCAAAATTTTCGTTTTTTTTTTTGTAGGCTAAGTACTTATCGGACTGTCCTCGTATATTCATTTAATCAATTTATACTTGCACGCTCGAATTTCACTGAAAAAACAACAGACGTAATTTGATGAGAACATAAGGATACTGCAAACCCAAGCTAGGGAATGTAAAATTAATTTACTCCTACGAGTACAGTACGCGTCTTTTTTGAGCGCAACAGATTATATCGCGCTGTAACTCCTGAGAGTATAATTGGAGCCATTTAGCAAATTAATCTTCGTCCTCGCGACGACCTCGTGAATGTGCGACGCTTTTCGACCACGCGAATCTATTCTTAAATTCACGGGAATTCGGTTAAATGAACCGTTAACACGAAAATTACACTTGCGCTCGAGACTGGCGGAAAGATTTGCACAAGTGTACGTTCAGATTGCTGCTTTCTGAATCAAAGATCGTCTTCTCGAGATTACTTGATCTGTTGAAACTGTTGAAAAAAAGAAAAGAAGGAGGAGGAGGAGAAAACGATCAGCGAAACTTTTAACACAGGCTGCGTCCCGATATTTACTGCCAGTGTTGAAAATCTATAATATACGTAATACGAACTATAGATTTCGCAGCCACGATAGGCGATCTTCAGTTGTCTTCAAGATTCGCGCGTAAATGGCAAATAATAACAATCTATTATTGCGATGACTTTTATTCGAAATGCATGCGACACTGGTCGGTACTTAAATGCACACTTATTTCAGTATCTGATGAGCGGTTGGGCGAAAGGTTACAGTTTCCGATGTCAGCCAGTGGATTACTCGTACAGTCCGATGGGCATCAGAATGGCAAATACTTGCTGGTGGTATTACTTTAGCAAATTCACCGAGTTCTTTGACACGGTGAGTATCGATATTTGCTTGGCTCGCGCCGCTCTTGAACAGCTAATAAGAAAACACAAAAACTTTGCTCGGTAAAACTCATCGAAAGTTGCAAGTTAGAAGGTCATTTATTTCTTTTCTTCGTTTGTCTTACTTCTTCGTCAAATTTATCTAATCACAGCTCATGGAATGTGGAAAATGTACGTCTTACTTTAGGAAAATAATTAATCATCATCTGAATGATTGAAAACATTGCGCGTCCTATTGTTTTATTCTAGCTCAAGTCGAGAATAGTAACCGTTATATTTACATCTTAGAAAGTTAAAAAGGGGAAAGTTATCGGCGAAGTGTATTAGTAAGAATTGCCAAAGTAGCGAGGATGAGAGTAAGATCCAACAACTTTCCTTTTCTTCTCAGCTATTCTTCATTCTGCGGAAGAAGAACCAACACGTCTCCACGCTTCACGTAATTCATCACGGGATAATGCCTTTCTCCGTGTGGATAGGGGTGAAGTTCACACCGGGCGGCCACAGCACTTTCTTCGCCCTCTTAAACACCTTCGTGCACATCATAATGTATTTTTATTACATGGTAGCTGCGATGGGCTCGCAGTTCCAGAAGTACATATGGTGGAAGAAGTACCTCACCACTTTGCAAATGGTGAGTTCGGCATTATTTTGAACGGTCATGAATGTAAAATGACGATTGTGCGGTAAGTGTGTGAGAAGTTACACGATCGTCTCGTAATGTTTTTCGCGTTTCGCACGGGATCTTACAATTCTCCTTAAAATATGCGCTGACACGCTGCGCTTGTGCGTTTGAGAAAGAATCCTGAATACGTTTAACATGCTCGCTACAAATGTCAAGGAAACATATACGTGCGACATTGATGATTCTTTCTATAACCACATAAATAAATCAGGTCTGTTTTGCACAATTATATAAGAACGAATACAGCGTGATCTGTGGGGAAGAATTTGCGTGGAAATGATAATAATGTTTAATTGAAATTGTCTCTTGACGTTTTGAAAGTCGAATTCGTAAGAGCGGTTTAAGATGGTATCGGTGACCGAATCCTCGATATAAGAGATCCAATTCGCTCTTTAATTCCGTCCATCCGTCACTAGAAGATACAGTCCTTCAGTCTTCATATAATATCGTGAGATTAATAATTAATTTTGATCCGCCGTGATAAGGTGCAGAATTAAAACGCCATCGTTTTCCGTTGCCGCTTAGTTATTCGTGGATTTATCAGAGGCTGCTTGCTCACTCACTCGCTTATTCTGATTTCAGGTACAATTCGTGTTGATCATGTCTCACCAATTCCAATTGTTCTTCACTGAGTGCGACTATTCACGCGGCTTTATGATCTGGATCGGCTTGCACGGTTGCCTGTTTCTCGGGTTGTTCTCGGACTTTTACAAGACAAAGTACAGAGGCGTGGGTAGCAAGGCCTCCGCGAGGATGCAAAACGGCTCTTCCGGCGGTGCCTGCATGCCGATCTTGGACGAGAACAACAAGCCGGCGCACAACGGTGTATCCTCGTACACGACGATTTACAACAAGTACAACAGCTGTTACAGCAATGGCACGAACAACGGTTACGTCGCTAACAATAATACGGAAAAGAAGCTCGCTTAGGACACATTGCTGCCTTGGTGGATACTCGGACATTTTCTTCGAAGTGTTGCCGGTCGGTTCGTCTCGCCGTACTACAGTTACCATTCATCCGCCATAACGTCATCTCGCGACAGGGGTAAAACGAATTTACGTGTGAAATGCGCCAGTCGAGACAGCAACAAATTACGCGCGCGCGCAAGGAGGATGAAGAGAGACGAGAGGTACTCGTGAAGAAAAAAAAAAAGAGGTAAACAAGAAAACAGCGAGACAAATTTTCGTTATCTCGCTGCAATATTCTGCGTTGTTAGCAGAGCGAAAGCTGTGTTCACTAACATAGAGTCATCGACGGGATAGAACTGTTACAACGTCCGTTACAAAATAAAAAGAACAAAAAAAAGAGAGATAGAGAGAGAGGGGGAAAGAGAGAGAGAGAGAGAGAGAGAGAGAGAGAGAGAGAGAGAGAGACAAGAAACGACGGAATGCGCAAATCATCGCTAATATCGCGCAATCTTCCTCTTTTGAGCCTTCGTAATAATGAAACGTCGTGGTTTGTACTCGATTTGTTAGAGCCTCGTGACACTTGCTGCCACTCGAAAATAGAACATCGATAATATCGTCGGTAATCATCGATAATACGATAAGAGAACTAGTGAAAGGGGATAAAAAAAGAGACTACTTTTGCACTTTCTATATTTCTCGGCGCTATCGAAAATCGCTGTCGCTGCGGTTTGTAAGATCTCTAGGTCGTGAATAGCTTGACAACGTGTTTAAAAAGGATAGGGACTCGAATGCTATGTAACCCTTGAAAATCCGTAACGTCTGAGAGAGGGGGAAAAACGAGAGCGAGAGAGAGAGTAAAAGAGAGGAGTTATGAGAGCGAGCTTAATGACGTTTAAAGCGCACACATACACGGCGACGGAGTAGAACCACGTGAGCTATATTCCCCGTTGAAAAATCGAGAACGAACGAAGCTGGTGCGTTCTTTGTGTGTGCATCTTTTTCATGAGTTGTGTGTATTTGTTGTGCGCGCGCGCGCGCGTGTGTGTGTGTGTGTGTGTGTGTGTGTGTGTGTGTGTAGAGAGACGAATACGCACTAGTGTTTCTTGTTTGGCACTTGGTGAACTTTTCCAAGACATTTTTTCCCCTTATCGAGACGTTGAATTCCCTCTCATCTCGATCTCTCCTTTTCTTCCCCCTCCCGTCATTATCATCATTATCACCGATTCTATCTCTCTCTCTGCAATCCCGATTGTGTTCAGAACTTGGGCGCATTTTGTGAAATTTAAGCATACAAATCGATTCGCCCGAATCAATATCGCGTTATATATATGTATATATATATATACATATATATATATCGTGTATCGATACTATATACAATATCGAATAAAGCAGAGTCGGTTTACACAGGATCGATCTGGTAGTTGCTAACAATTCGTGATGTCCCCGCTGTGATGTTGATTTATCAATTTAGAAATTGGTGTGCCCAAGGGACATTGTTGGCTAATAATTAGCTAGTTAGTTAATCTAATTCTCGGCAGGGACAGGGTTCTTTAGACTTTATGGGAACGTTACGAATTCTTAGCGACATGTGCCAACGTATATTCATAGTTAATTGAACATCTACACGGACACTTTCCTCACGTTTTCTCGATTCATTCGGGGGCTTGATTCTACCATAGTACACGGTATATAGTAACGATAGCGATAATCCGTAATGACGGTGATGGTGGTAATGATGTGATGATAGTTTTTATGTAGTGATGGTGATAATGATGTGATGATAGTGTTTATGCGGTGATGGTAACGGTGGCGGTGGTTAGTAGTAGCGATGCTAGTGCCCGGCTCCGATGCTGACGCCGCTGTCGGCGCTGGCGTTGACAAAAAATTGTTCGCTGCTTCGATCATTTCCTCGTTAGGCCTGCGGTGCAGTAAGCCGCAGTGCGGCCTGTTTATTGTACAACACACAACTGGCGCTTTAATCGATCGGAAAAGCACGCGACATTCAAGTCACGAAGCTCTTTCTAGTGTCGTAGAATCAAGCTTCCAAAGTGAGCCCGCACTAAGCAACGAGCCTCTCTTACACGCGATCATTATCATGAGCCGGATCATGAATCGCGAGAACGAGCCGAGTGCAAAAACGTGTGTGTGTGTGTGCGCGTGTGTGTGTTTTAATTTACGTATGTATGCGCGAGAATTATACCTACACGAGGGGAAGGGGAAACGTTTCAAGACCGTAATTAGTTGCACTAAGATTAATATATTTGTACTTCCTATTTTTCTGAGCATATTATTTATGATGATCCAAATATACAATAAAATACTAATGATGGAATGCCTCGACTATAGTGAAATTAACCTCGATTGTTTTACAAAACGTATAGATTTACGAATCAAGGATACGAAACGGATCGAGAGAGAGAGAGAGAGAGAGAGAGAATGGAGAAACAAGAGCGAGAGGGAAAGATGTGAAAACAGTCTTGCGTCGTGTTGTTGATCAGCCTCCTTATGAAAGTTTATGTACGTAATTGATGCTTGCGTTCGAAAAGCCTCTTTCCTCCGATGCGACTTCGGAAGCGCACTTCCGAGCGAGTGTAACGATTAAAACTTAATCCTTATATACATAATTTATCTTCTCTTTCTTTATTTCCGTAAAACATCATGCTCTATGGTCGTAATTCGTATCGTCACCGTAAGAAACTGTATTTTTGAGTAACAGAGTGCGCGTAATAATAATAATAATAATAATAATAATAGTAATATGAGACGGCAATAGCAATGTCTATCGTTATCCAATATTGAATCATTATTTGATATATTAATTAAATATTATAGGCTCGCCAAATGTTTATATTTTCTTGACGTTTCACATCTATAATAGCAATAATTCTACTTGTGTGTCTAAGTTCTTCGCGTACATTCGGTTTCAATACGGCTGAGACATGTTTTTCCGGCGCAATTCAGATGAGAAAGAGAGAAAAAGAAAGAACGTGGTTGATGGTTCGACGAAAGAGAGAATTTGTTTCTTTAATTCCCGGAAATTAAATTCTCTCACTGGACATCGTCTGTGTTTCTCGAACTACATCGAGAGGAAATATTCAGACCGTTTTGGAAACCAAATGTAATACATAATATCATAATTGCAGCGGTCGGCGTTTTACTTAACGTTTAAATTATCTCCATTAACTTATTACCGTCTCTAGCTCTTATTAGCATTTAAATCAACTTACGCAGACACATTCCTCACGTAAGCACGTAACCGGATTTACGACCTGTCGCAATGTGTACATTCCGAGATTGACACGTTACACTCGCGAGTGAATCGCCGCCGAATTTGCGACTCGATCGTTCGTTGCGTCGTGATTTAATTAATTGCTCATCAGCTTCCCGTCGTCGGGTTTACACGCGCGCGCGAGAACACAGGAAGCCGTTGCGGTGACAAGAAAAAACAAAGCGAGCGACAACTAACGCACATGGCTGAATTGCGAGCCGACTAATTAAATCGTTTTTCACATGTGTGCATACTAGTGTGAGAGAACTGCCACGAGCGGAGCGAAACGGAATTGGGCACGCGTGAAGAACGGCGTGAAAAACGAAAGTGTGCTCCGCTCGTCGAGCTCTCGAGCGGCAGGAAGAGCGCGTTGAATTCCCCGCGAATGTTTCACTCTACGCACAACTACTGCGATAAAATAGCGAAGCGATCTAGGCAAGAGAGAGAGAGAGAGAGAGAGAGAGAGAGAGAGAGAGAGAGAGAGAGACGTGGTGCCGTTACGTTTTCCCAGTCTCGTTTCTGTTTGTGATATACGGGGCACCACCACGGTGCTGACGGCGCGCGCTCGCGCGCGCTGCTAATTGATGCGCCTGTACAGAGAAAATGTTTTAGCGAAGAAAGCAACGCACAGCGTGTGTCTCCTTTTAGCGACATGTAGAATTACTACGGCGATCTTTTTAGAGGATGGTGAGACTCGGCTACCCGCTCGCACTTCTCGTGAATGAGCGACAGCAATAAGTAACACATCGTAACACACACACACGTAAACACACGACGCTCGAGCCCCACGTACATCGCTTATTGTTTGCGAAATTAGAGCCGAATGGTTGTCGCGAGACCGCGCATATTTTACACTACGTTCCCAACGAGTCGAGAAAACGCCGCGCTCCGATCGCTCCTCTCTACCTGCCTTTTTTCTTCATCTACTCTCGTTGTTGCCGCGCGAGCGAGCGAGCGGTTCTCGACCGACGGATGTAACGGATCGCGAGAATCCCAGGTCTGAGAATCAACGGTCGTTATTTGAAGCTCGTCTCACGCGAGATGTACGTGGATCCGATCGGGACGTGATCGAGCTCTGCGTATCTCAAACGCAGCGAGAATTGCAAAAAATGAGCGCACTTATTGGAACACTTATTGGAACATTTGGTCGGCGCCTAGTGAATTTGCTCCACTTTCGTAATTCTCACTACGTTCTGAAATAACACAACCGAGTCTCTGAATATTTGGAGTTAAATCTCGGAGTCGATTGCACATCTCAAAGCGTAGTGAGAATTGCAAAAATGAGCGAATTTATTGGAACATTTATAATTTCGTTTATAAATCGGTCGATACCTAATGAATTCGTTCACTTTTGTAGTTCTCGCTACGTTTTGAGGTGTCGCAATCGACGACCCCCTGAGTGTTTCGGTCGAACCATACACGATAACACGTGACGTTATATCACTCGTGGTCGCGACTCCATTAAAAAAAAATGCATGCCTAACTCTAATTGCAAATCCGAGTGTCTCACTAGAGATAAGTTTCAAATAACGAGCGTTAATACGGGCCTCAGTTGCTCGCGATTGGCAGACACCTCGCAATCGCAGACCGAAGATAATTATCGCCCCTCGATATTCCGCCGTTTTTGCGAGAAAGTGGCCCTGCGTTCGGCGGAGGAAAAGCTCAGCGAACACCTGGTGATTATCGTCTGCGATTGAAGTATTCTTTTAGATCCTCGATAGATCCCGGAGGAATGTACCGATCCAGAAATAATAACAATAATCATTAAGCGCCCACCGAATTATTTTCTCCGCCGAGCGCGGCTAATAATGACCACGTTCGGCGGGACGGTTGACTTCACAACTGTTGGAAGTCTTCCGCGTTGAGATCGAATCATTTTGCCAGATCTAAGAGAATAATCCAATCTCGGCTGAGAAAACCTTCAACGGTTGCAAGGTAAACCCTGATTTTCTGCCCGACAGTGGTCAGTGGCCAAATTTGCTTCGGTGAAATTTGCGTGCACACACATACACACACGCGCGATTCTCGATCGCACATTCGTTTTTTTTCCAACGGACGCGATATACTTCCTTTCCTCGACGAAGATGTCGTTTATTGGGTACGCGTTGCGGTAATTCGATTGCGTTTTATCCTCAAGCGAACGAGCGGTCTTTTTCTCACGTGCATCGCCGCCAGAATATTTTTCTAAGGAAATCCCACACGTCGATGACCCGACATCATCCTCTCCCCCCCCCCCCCTCCTCCTTTCCCCTAACGTCGTCGTTTCCGCGAGAGGATCTTGCAGCGGAAATTTTTCGCGGATTGGATCACGTTAAATCCAGTTGTTTCCCCGCGAAATAAAGTGGCCTGTCTTCATTGACACGATGGAGGATTAGCGGNGGGGGGGGGGCACGCGCGAACCGTCGTGTTCTTTTTGCGTTTGCGGCAATATTTCACGACGTTATCCTCGACGCACGGCGGCTTATCCGCGCGGGACGCCACCAAGAGCCACGTAGAATGTATGCGAGTAACTTTTTACATTTATAAAGGAGCGATTATAGGTTTGGCGATTTATAATAATGTTGTTGTTCGAAATATTGTAACATACGGGTCTCTCGTCGCCGCCGGATGCATCTTTCAGCCGCGGATTCTTCGGTCGAGACTCCGAGTCTTGAGACTTGTCCTCGTCTTGGTGAAAATATCCAAATAAACTCGTCGTCTGCGCGACAACTTTCTAACATTACGTAGGTTGTTCCGGAATCGATAGAACATGATCATGCAGTCTGTTCGAATGTGTGAATCCGGTGAGGGACAACTCCGAGTTGACTCTCGTTTGAGTCTCACGACTCTCTCAAAATCACGGCAATTTGTTCTTCGAGACTTTTCGAATCTGAACGCACGACTCTTCGTGCGCGATCGAGCGTCGAATTAAAACTACATCCCGTTTAGGACTAAGTATCGGGCGCAGTTTCATTATATCCGTTTGCCTCTTGGATCGCTTGGTTCCTTGAAGAAATCCCTTAATTTTAGATTACCGGTTGCTCGATTAATTCCATCGTTCTCGCCGAGTGATTGTAGAAGATTATATAGAAAATTGAGGGAGAATCACGGCGAGATTCTCGCCGGGGGAGGGGATTGATTCCGAGTTGTCGAGAGAATCGGTGGTCGACCAGATACCCGGTGGTTTGCAAACACTGTGTATACGATTAGGACCCTCTGTCCCTTTTCCTCTCGAGATCGCCGAATTTCCCTGAATCACGAGCGTATATCACGAAGAGATGACGATAGTCGCGCAATAGAGAATTGAATTATGTCAGTGAGCGAGCAATGTGCAAAGGGCAAGGAAAAAAGTGATACTCTTGTTGCGTGAGAGAAAGAGATGAAAGGTAATCCGCACGTTCATCACATTATCGTCGCGATGACGTGTTCCGCAGCTTCATGTTCATTCGAAAGATCTAAAACGAAAGCGCCAGAGAGAATGAGCGACGATGAGAGGGAGAGTGCGTATCTCGCGTCACGTACCTAATGTTACGAACTCTGTAATGATTCTCATTATATTTTTGTACATAATTGGGGAGAATTACGAGAGAATAAAGCAAATGAAAATATGAAATTAACACTTAACTGCATTTGGCATGATTGAATAGCGCGTAGTGTGAAATTCGTCCATGATCTATGCTCTGTAAGCGCGTAATATTCCTAGAATAATATATGAATATTATTCAATATTAAAATAATATTCCTATAATATTTTAAGAATGTTATGTAATACTTTTTAATATTATAGGAATGTTCTATTGATGTTATATGTCCACTTCACATAATATTCTTGGCATATTATAAAAATGTTTTAGAATATTTAAAAAAATGAAATAATAATATACAAACGAATAAATAAAAAATTATATATATATATATATACTATATATATATATATATAGTAGTATATATACATGTATATACATATGTATGTACATAGAGTTGAATATTTAAAAAATATATAATATTACAGAAATATTAAATAATGTTACTAGAATATTATTAGAATATTACGTATAATATTTTAAGAATATACCCAGAATATTACTTAATATTAAATAATATTATGTGCTTGTAGGGTTTGACATTAATTTTCACTGCTGTCTAATCATCTATTGCGCATGTTCGTGAATCATAGGTTCGCTTCGTCGTATTTTTGCGTGTTGCAAAACATGTAAAAAAAAAACTTGCAACCGTCCTGCGGCCGATTGTACAAGGTGTCGCATCAACATACGACCCATTACAACGAGTTGTGTGCCCAAAGGCGCACATGTCCAGACGTTAATTTCGGATTTGTCGATATAGACATGCCTTTCCAACGAAGTTATAGCGTTTCTAATTATTATCCTAATTATCAAAATAAAAGAAAAAAATATGTGAGTGAATCGTTATCGACAAATCCGAAATTGCTATCTGGACATGCGCGCCTTTGAGTAGGCAACTCGTCGTACAATGAGTCGTATGTTAATGCAACCTGTACATGGTTTCATCATACAAGAAGGAAGGGAGAAAAACAAGGGAATAACGAAGTGAAACAGTCGAGAATTTTACGCAACTGAACTATTTGGTTTTTACTCGTGCTTTACGATCGATACAAAAAATCGCTAGAATAATTCTTTTCCAAGCGGCACTTTGTACTTGTCCCCTCCTCCCCGTTCTTTTATTAGTACTAACTTCCGTTAGCCCGATTCTCAGAAAAGACCAACAATAATCGCAACCCTCGCTTAAGCTGGAGCTACAGTGGTGCCTGCAGGATACGGCTCTATCGCCGGGGCCTTTGAAATAATCGGATGGCTGACCACGTCCTCCTTAGTGGCGTATATCGACTTTGACTCCTGCTTCTCTTCATCGCTTCGCCAGTGCACCTGCAACACAAGTGAAACGCTCAACATGGATTTCACGTATTCGCAACGCGAGATTCTGTGAATTTTCTAAGATAATACTATGGAGAAGAAGGCGAATGTAGAATCAGCAATTATAGAATCGCTTATTCGGATCTGAAGATACAAAGTACACGAAGAGAAATGTAGACTAATTTTCACTATAAAATTCTCTCGGTAACATACATCCGTGATCATAAATTAAAAAGAATTTTATAAGAAAAATTACTATCGAATTTTGTAACTGAGTAACATATCGTCATTCCTCCATAATTACAGTCGCAACAAATACCAAATATTTTTCTCTCAGTATAACCGGATAAACTCTACCGTTTATTCTCACGCTACTGGAAGAAGTAGCTTGTAATGAAAAAAAATTGAGAGAAATCAAGCCGAAAAATTGAAAGGAATTCGAGAAAATTTGTAACATTTTCTCTGCGTGGTAACATATACTATAGTTGTTCAGAGACGATTTCACAGTTTTGGACACGCGTTTCTGAGAAGACGTCGGAAGTACCTTCTGTTTGTGCTGTTTGATGGCCTCGGCGCAACAGTTCACGACCATATTATCCGTCAGGACGCCGTCCTCCGAGGCGTAGGCTGCCATCTGCCAGCTGACACCCAGTTTCGCCAGCTCTCTGCCGGACATGCCCTCCGTCAGGTCGGCCATCTTGCTGCACAGCGCACTGTAGTCGAACTGTGCCACCTTCAGCCTCTTGTTACCCTCGATCGCCGGCTGGAGGACAAACTTGTCGAAGTAGAGCCGGACGAGACGCTCGCGCTCCTCGCGACCCGGAAGAGTGAACTCCACCATCTGGTCCAGCCTGTCACACACGGCCCAGTCGAACTGCTCCGGCGTATTCGACGCGAGCACCAGCATGAACTTGTCGCTCTGCTCGCCGGTACGGTTGAGGAACGCGTTCAAGGTAGCCCTGAGATCCTCCGAGATATGCTCGCTCGAGCGCTTCCTCAGGAACGCGTCTGCCTCGTCGATGAATAGCATCAGGCCCTTCCTGGACGTCAACGCCCAGTCGAATATCTTGTGAACAGCGGTGACACCGTCCCTACCGAGCGGCGCCATGTCGCCACCCGTGGCAATCGCGTAGTCCATGCCCGAGTGCTGGGCCAGCTTCTTCGCGAACATAGTCTTACCGGTGCCCGGTGGCCCGTACATCAGTATGTTCCCGTACATACCACGGTTGCGCCTCGTGTTCTTCGTGGCTATCGCGATGTCGCGCAGCTTCTTCTCCAGTTCCGGCGCGAGTATCACGCCGGACAGTGCGTCGGACTGCTTGGATCTCATCCTCTTCGCCGTCTGTATCGGATGCCGGAGCGCGTCCAGCAGCGCGAATTTCGAGGTCTCGCGTACCAACGACGGCTTGCCCAAGCGGGACTCGATGTAGCGCGTCGCCACGCTGGTCGCACCCTTGGCGGTGTACACCCCGAAGGCTAGCAGCGACAGACCGGCAACCGCCGCGGTGATCTTGTCCCAATCTTCCAGGAGGGCCTTGGCTCCCGAACCTAACACTGAGCCAGTTGTTCTGGAAGATGTGACGATTATGAAGCCTACATGCACTTCTCTATGCGCGAGCTGATGTTACGATACAATTACTTACTTTATAGATTCTAAAACTGTGATCCTCTTCTCCGAGGCTTTCAGCCTAATCTGTTCGAGATTGAGATCGTGGTTCTCTCTGTCGATCTTTGCCTTGGCCTTGAGTTCCGCCTCCAGTTTCCTCATCTCGTTCTTGTGCCTCAATTCCATCTCGTGCTCTATCGTGGCTTTCCTCATGGCTTCTTGCTTGGCCACCGATTCCTCCTGCCTCCTCAGATTCTCCTCGTTCATCTTCTGCTGCTGGATCAACTGTTCGTCGTAACGCTTCCTAGCTAACTGATCCTGATACTGCGCCCTCATTTGGTGCTGCTTCGTCTCCTCCTGTACGGTTTTCCTCCTTTCCTCACCCTCTACCCGCTTCTGCTCCAACTTGAGCTGTTCCATACTGGCCTCGTACTTCTTCATCTCAGTCTGTGATTCCACCTGTTTGGTGGTCTCCTGCATTTTCGACAGTTCCAAAGCTTCCTTCGCATATCCTGAAAAACAAAGTCGTACCTGTCAACTTCTTTTTCAGACAACGGCTCGTACTTCTGATTGACAGTAAGTGTAATTTTACAGTAGGCGTGAAAAATATACTTTCGAACGACGATAGCTTTTATGTTATGGTTTCAGAAATTGGCATTCTTATTTTCGAACTATTGATTGTATCTTGTAAAATGTCCTCCCTGTAAAATAATGATGCAATAACATCATCCCGACCGCTTACGTAATTAGGCGTGAGATTCTTTTTTTTCTTCATGATATATGCGAGTAAAAAGAACATTTACTGGATCGTTCGAGTTCCTTAGCGGCACCGGCGGCACGCTCCAAAGCGCCCGAGTCGAACATGTACGCATCCATTTGTGACTTGGTCATCCTCTTCGGGGGAGAACCACCGCCGCCGTCGTCGCCATCACCGCTGCCGCTACCCGTCGGCGGCACGAATTGCGAGAAGTCCGACGGCACCTGCGAATTGCGGTACCCGAACAGCCACGACATTTTCCTATCGTCCACTTGATCGTGCTCCGAAGAAGGTTATACTCGCACACCTCTACTTTTCTCTCACGACACGCGAACACCGGGTTCTGTCACGTGTAGCCCGTTTTGAGCGTGAAAGGGTTGCACGAATGAACGCGCCATCTCTAGGCGGTGCATCTGCCTCTTCAGCATCCGGATATCAATTGAGTCTTTCGACGCGTTCTTTTAGTTCCGGTCTACTATAAGTGCTTTAAGCCCGTATCAGACTACGGATTGGGAATAGAGATCGATTTGCATCTAGCCAATCAATATAAAGTTAACTAAACTCGGATTTAGTGAAATTTAGTGAAACTTACACTGATTGGTCAAATTTCAATTCAATCTCAATCTTCAGTCCATAATCTGATACAGGCTTTATGGTGCTTTCTATTCGGCGACACAAGCATCATCCTTTGTTATTCATTGAATGCGGGACAAAGACAAAATGATGTTCGTGTCGACTTGTATCACTAAATGGAAAGCACCATTAAGCTCTAAGCCTTAAGAAATTGACCAATCACAGTTGAATGTGAGGAGAATAATCGACTGTGATTGGTTAATTTCTTAAGGCTTAGACCCCGCTTAATGTCGATCCACAATAGGTATTTTAAGTCTCAAGGCTTAAGAAACTGACCAATCACATATCGAATGTGAAGAGAATAATTAACCGTGATTGGTAAATTTCTTAAATAAGGCTTAAAATATCCTTTTTGGACGGACACTTAGATGTTTCAGAACTGGTGTCTAGTAATGTGCACTCAATGCGGATCACCCGATAGAGTTGGGCGATATGGGCTATAAGCGGCATTTTATCTTTATGGTTTATTACATGCTAAAAGAAGATAGAATGACGCTTATAGCGCGCGAACGCCCAAAAAGAACGCAGTCATAATATGTTCGTACATAGGGAAATAAAGATTTCTCCCAGAAAAATAGGGTTTTCCCTCGCAAATTACGGGGGAAAAACTCTATTCCCCTATGTATCTACACTGTATCGCCGAACTATAATTCTCAAACGCAACTTAAAGCTAAATTGCGCAACAAACAGAAGTAACTAGAATTTTAAACCGTTTTGAGCATAGACGTATATAATCATAGAGATATAAGAATAGAGGGAACAAGGGATATATGCTACCTGTAAGTGGAAGTGATAGAGGTCAAAAGAGAGATGGATCCCGAGTGTTCTATCTGTCTCTTTTTAATCGAGCGCTGTGATTGGTTGTTACAATGAGCCGCCAAGACGACCACGCGACGTCAGGAGGGGAGAAAGCAGACTAAAATTTCGTTTTGTAAATATGCGTGCACATGTGTGTAGAATTAAAATTCGTTAAATATTCGAACGTTAACAAAATAATAATTGGACGCAATTTGTTTAAAAATGAAGCATTGTTTGAAATGCAAGGCGGAGTTTTATCCTGGATGTAACCGCAGTTTTCACTCGTAAGAAAGTACAAATACGTAACCTCAAATAATTATATGTTATTTTTTCCTACATTTAAAAAAATATGTAAATATTGTAGGCTACCGAAGGATGTAGATATAAAGCGTAAATTGTTGAATATATTTCAACTACCTTTGTATTTTGAAGTGAAAACAGCATATATTTGCAGTGATCATTTTAGCAATGACAGTTTCTTTGAATTGGATGGAGAAAAATGTATAGCTATATCGTCGTTGGCGCGGCAGCCAATCCCAGCGCGTGACTAGAAAGAGACAGATAAGACACTCGGCACCCATCTCTCTCTTTGCCTCTATGACTTCCACTTACAGGCTTGTTCCCACTATTCTTATATCTCTATGTATATAATAGACCGCGCAACCCAATGGCGAGCTTGAGGTGAACATAGAGATGGTGGGGGAGCAACTTTGGGAGTCTATCTCTTTCTAACCTCGTGCTTTCTCTCTCTCCGGCGAAACGAGAGTGGGGAGCTGGACTAGCAAAAGAGTGGGGCAGGCTCTCTTATATCTCCCATCCCAAGCTTAAACGTAAGCCCCTCTACCCTTGCACAACTTAAATACAACAACAAGAACTAACCATTTCGTATAAAAAAACTTATTTTATTTATTTACTTATTAAACAATTAATATACATTTGCAGAAGACTCAAAACGTAATACATCGACGACGCTTCCCCTCAAGGGCCTCAAGCATCCCCACTCTCATTCTACATCCTCCCGCCGGAGAGAGAGAAAGCGCGAGGTTAGAAAGAGACAGACGCCAAAATTTGCTCCCCCACCACCTTTATGTTCACCTCAAGCTCTCCACTGGGTTGCGCGGTCTATTATATACGTCTATGGTTTGGAGTCCGCCGCCGCCTCTGCGTGGAGTGCGCGTGCGCGGGGAATTCCACGACTCGCCACTGCCCCATCGTAGTACGACTCAACGGCGATTCGGACGGGCAATTGTTCCGGTGGAGTATTCGATCAATCGTAAATGCCGATGTATCGATGACCTCATCCGTCCGCCCGCCCGCGGCAAGTTCGCGCGGCTGCGGTGAGTGTGCTCTTTTTAAACATGGGGAGGTTACTTTTTTGAAGTAATATGTGGAACCTCGGTAACCGTGCTGCCGTGGTGTTGATCTGTGTGACGTGCGGGTGCGTGCTGGTCTACAACGCCTGGGGTGCGATACTCGCGCTCATACTGTCGCTGCTCGTCGTGGTTTACGCGTGCTACTCGTTGCTCGCCAACGACAGCCTAGTGTTTCCGCAGGAAACTTATCGCGTGTTCGTCTACCTGCGGGAGGCGATTCACGAGCTACGCGTGGCACTGGAACCCGCTGTCGGCCACGTTAGCGGATATACGCGCAAGCTCTGGCGTGGCGCCGGTCATTATTACCGCGAACGTTTCCCGCTCGAGACGATGGACGGACGACGCGGAAGAGGTAAGAGTTATCAGCTCAGCAGTGACTCTTACGACACGGCTTTCGTCAAAAGCAGGGACTCCTTGACGCCGGTGACGAGCAGGTTCAGCCCGATCGGCCAGTCGGGCCAGATCAGGCGCGACAATGATACGACGTATCACAGGTTCTGCCAAGCCGGCGACCACGAGCGCTCGCAGCAGCTCGTTTTAGGCAAGCACACCTCCACACCGGTACTCCGGCCCGGCGACAGGGAGGACGACAGGAACGGTGACATAGGTCTGCTTCCTCGCAAGGAGACCTCGTCTTTTTGTATTACTCAGAGCCATACGCTGAATCGTGGTGAAAATATCACACAGTTCAGCCCGGAAGGCTCTCCGTGGGGTGCCAGTATCAGCCCCAAGATGCGCCCGAGGCCAGCGGGCATGAAGACAGTCCAGACAGTGGCTGGACCGCTATTAGCATCCACGAGATACAACATTGACCCGAAGTAAGTACGCAGGTTTTTGTTAATCATTCATGTATGTACGTACGCACGAGGAAGTAACAAAGTCCCTGTGTAATTTCTTGCAGTTAAAATTGATCACTTTGCGTGATCCTTGTTTTCTTTCTTGACCGCAGGATGTACGCAGACGTGTCGTCTCCGGGACTCACGACGAGGCTAACCAAGTATGCTACAGAAGCAAAGAGCAAACTAACGCATCAGTCCCACTATGGCACAGGACAGTTCCCAAAAGTTAATCTCTACGCCAATCCTGTTCCATTACTGAACACGAAATCGACAAAGATGAGAATGCCGGTGACGGTCAGACTGGCGCCACCTGAAGTCGCGAGATATTCTCCTCCGGAAAGGCAGAGAATCCTGTCTAATATCCGCCATACGCCGAACAACAAATCAACTACTAATGTTGTCCAGGTATTAAGAGAAATATCCTTGAAACGACACGCGTCGAGGGAAGACGTCACTTTCGACGTAGCTAAGAAGCAAAGAACGGAAGACCTTTTCGATGAAGAAACGGAAATGGTCTTGGAAGAGACTAAACAGAAACGGGCCAGGGACGATTCTAGATCGGAGGAGGAACTCTCTCCTCAGAATATATCCATCAGACCTGCCAAGAAACGTACAAAAACGCAATCCTGTTATGACATTTTGAACTCACTGAGCTCCAGCATCCATGTTTCCCCCGGTGTTAAAAGGAAAGCAAGTAAGTATCGAGTTTTACCACCCTATAAGCGCGTAATATTCCTAGAATATTATATGAATATTATTCAGTATTAAAATAATGTTCTTATAAAATTCTAAGAATGTTACATTATATTTCATATAATATGTTATATAATATTTTTTGGTATTATAGGAATGTTCTATTGATATCCACTTCATATGTCCACTTCATATAATATTCTTGGCATATTATAAAAATGTTCTTAGAATATTAAGAAAAGAATAAAATAACAATAATGTGGAGAAATATACATATATATATATATATATATATATATATATATATATATGTACATAGATTTTAATATTTAAAAATAATAATGTATTGTAATATATAATATTACAACAATATTAAATATTATTTTTTAGATATTATTAGGAATGGACATGTAATTATCTTTTAATATTTCATAAATATTACTTAATATTAAATAATATTACACGCTTATAGAGCATGTATGTATCACATATCGTCGACTGTATATAGTTTTCATTAACATTATTTTTCCTCCACAGTTGACTTCTCCCGCAGCGGGACACCCGAATTCGAGAAGCACTTCAAGTCTCTGAAAAGCGTACAGACCAGTAACTCCAGTCCTCTCAATTTACCGCAGTCTCAGAACTTGGACATAAATCACAGTCATAGGCATGACATGAAAGAAATATACTCGAAAAATCTCGAGACCATTACCTGCGACAAGGTGCAGGAAACTCTCTTGACGAAAGGTATATTGAAGATGTCTAATAACGAGGCGAGGGTCAATCTGAACAAGCCAGTGCCGACGGTCCATAAGGTTGCAAAAAGCGTCGAAATTGTGGGCGGCGCTGGGTCCGTTGCACCAACGAAATCCGTTAAATTGACGGATAAGCTGTTTATGAGAGACGAGCCCGAACGGAACGCGTGGTTGAAAGTACTCGCGGAGGAGCAGGTCAGTGTAAAACCCAAGTTCACGAAGGACAATGTGGAGGAGATAAAGAAGGAGGACATACGGAATATGAGGCAAACTAGTATGAAAGCGAGGCTCCAAAGTATGTTCGATGCGATATCTGGAAAAGGTAAATATGTTAGAGGGTGTCTCAAAATCATCACATATTTTCAACATGATAGATGGGACATTCTAAGACGAATGCTCAAATATGAATATATGGAAGCATCGACAGTTTCACAGATACAAGGCGATCGAGAAAACTGGATTTTTTGCAAATTAAACTACGAACGACCGAATGGATAGCAAAATTCTTCCACGATCAATTTCAAATGGACTTTGTTTTTACGGAAGTTTATTTCAAGCTTTAGTTACAAAGATATGTTGAAAATTGAAAAGTTGCTGAATAATAATAAACTTTCGTGCTTGAACTTTTGTCTTAGAATGTTTTATGCCCGTTTCTATCACGATGGTTTTAACCTAATCAACGATTAACTCAACGGATTTATCAATTGCATTGACCAATTAGCTGAACTGACCAATGTGATCAGCTAATTGGTCAATGCAATTGATAAATCCGTTAAGTTAATCGTTGATTAGATTTAAACCATAATGATAGAAACGTGCGTTAAAGTGTTCTCAAGGAATCTGTCATGTTAAGAACATACATTTGTTTTGGGACACTCTTTGTATATAATAATCTATTCGCTTTCTATTACGCTAACAAAGAAACTCGGTATAGCTTTTTAATTTTTTTAACAAAAGTTTTACAGTCTTATATATAATACTTTACAATGGTATTTTAAAATGTTTGAAAAATTATTATATTTATTCCCCAATATATCCCCATCATTCACAACTTTTTCTTTTTTAAAACATTGAAATTTTCATTTCAAAATGAAGGATTANTTTTTTTTTTTTTTTTTTTTTTTTTTTATTTAATAAACTGCTTCATATATCGTGAGATTGTTTGCTTGCGAAAGAGTTGAAATAGCAATGAAAGATCAAAAGGACATGTCTAGAGAAATGTGAAAAGTTATATAGAAAATTTCACATTCAGCAAAATAACTGTTTGTTAGAATCATGAGACGCATAATATTTGTAGATACATTGATAGCAAGCAGCATAATTTTATTTAAAATAGCATATGTTATAACATAAGTATCAGTATAAGAGTTATTGCTACAACGTAATAATCTAATGTGTTGTGTGTGGGAGATTTTATTTAATACGTTGAATGCCATGGGAATCACTGGTAATCGATGCTGTGATATTATCGCGTCTTGTTAAGTTGTATATAAAATATAATTAATCGCATCTATAAAATAGGCTGTGCAGCCAATAAAGAGCCAATGAAACGAGGTAAGAGAGTACATGTATCCTGAATTATATTTATCGTACCTTTAGAGTGATGTAATCATCAGTTATACGTTTGTACGATCAATGGGAATTAGCGTGGCATTCAACGTGTTAATGACTTTTAGAGTAAGTCTTATTACTCACTGAGACTTTGTGAGTATACCGAGTGTTCCGCGAGGAAACCGACAGATTTCTAAAATGTGTTCTAGAAGTAATTCTAAATAAAAAGGTCCGAATACCTCATAGGTCAATTCTCGACTCAGTTATCATGATATAGACAATTTTATTAATATTGTAATAGGCTAAAAGAAAAAAAAATATATATATATACCACCAGACATTTATTAACTTTTATCAGACGAATTATTCTCCTGATTGTTTATTCATAATGTTCACCTTCTGCTTGCAGACACGCTGCTACTTGTTGTCCCATGGATCGTTGCCAGTTAATTTGTTCTAAGTTCTTTGCAAATATTGACTGTAGTCTCTGTTATTCTTCCAACTACTTATTGCCGGACCTCTGCTTTATCCCGTATTGTATACACGAAACTTCAAACAATCCCATAAAAAGAAGTCGAGAGGCAGAGCCGTGTCATCCAGAAATTTGCGATACTGATAAGAATTAAATTTTGTGTATCTCGGTAACTGAATTGATCTATAATATATTTGAACTGCTTTGCTCAGAATGTATCTCTAAGAACACATTTTAGAAGTTCATCAGTTTCCTCGCGGAACACCCTATACATTATGATATCTTGGAAACTTTTGTCCGGATATTAATACTTGTCACCCATTTCTGCTCGGCGCTATTGTGGGTTTCCTCGTGAGTGAATAGATAGGTAAAAGCAAGGCTGTGCCGTAGATTTTAAGATTACATCCGCATGGATAATTTATCTATATGATGTTTACACAAATTTGTTCTCGTAGACAATGTAAATTATGTAAAATATTACAAATTGTGTAGTGCAATGCAAAGAGAGAGGATAATTGTTAAGATAAAAGTATCAATGCCCGGACATGTACTTAAATGCACATTTTCATTATTTTAATCTTTAAACATGAGTATTTAAACTTTCAACGTAGAATATATGTTTATATTAAATGTATGTGCGCATATTCGTGATTAAAAGTTTAGATATTCATAGTTAAAAGCCAAAACAGTAGAAATGTTTAGATGCACGTAATTCAGGTCCAGGTATCGGTTACTTCTACCTTGATCTAAATCAGTTTAAGCTACAAAATTATTCATACTCGGTGTTAATGTTAATTATAAAGATATTTAATGTTATAAATTGAAAAGTTGATATACATACATGCAGGTAACGCAGACATTTTATCATTTGAATTTATCTGTGAGTTTTTAAGCGGGAAAAGGCAGTCCGTAATTACAATAGGCATAATATGCGCAACATTTATTTTCCTTTTTTATCAGTTCGAAATCAAAGGGCCTCGCATGTTTTGTATAAAAAAAAAATAATCCCGGTGGAATTACTTCGTTTTGATATACGTTATAGTTTTTTTATTTATATGTTATAGTATTTTAGTTAGGGATTCTAAATAAATCAACAGATAAAGAAATTTAGAGCTTTGAGGTCATAAAACTTGAATATGTGTCATTTCCTTAAGATGTCTCTATATTCAAGTTCTATGACTTTAAAGCTTATCTGTTGATTTTATTCCAATCTCTTTATCTGTTGATTTTATGTAAATGTGGCAAAGGAAACATTTGTTCAGAATCATAAAACCAATATGGCGGTTGTATATAAATTGCGGCGTATTGCTACACTGATTTTTTTTTTCATCGAAAATTCTGGTGGAATTAAATCTTGGTTTTTCTTCAAATCTCTTCGACCTTGCTCAATGTTTTCTATTATTTTTTTAATTTTCGGTTATGGGTGCGTTCGAGGAACTCACAATCGCATATCGGAAAGTACATGATTAGCACTAACGCGTCACTTTATCTTTGTCCCTCGTTAGATATGCAACAGCTTCCTTGGCTCTTGGAACAATATAGATAGCGTTAATAGCACGATAATGAGCTCCTCGAAAGTACCCTTAGACTCCTTTCAGGAACATAAGACGCTCGAACATGATATTAGTTAAAATAATAAAGTAATAAAGTAAGTTGGAGTAGCGCGTTATTAGCGTTGATCAGCGCTAATGAGAGTCGTTGTATCCTTGTCGCATATCTAATGAGGGATAAAAATAAAAATACGTGATAGCATGTTGCTCCACGCACTGTTAACTGTTTAAATAAGTATTATTTTTATAGTATTATTGTATATAGTGTAGTATTATTACATATAGTGTTATTATATAGTATTATATATAGTATTATTTTTATATACAGCATCACTATTAGAGAAGTATTATTATATATATTGTTATTATTAATAGTATAATAATAGCAATGATAATACTTCTCTAAATAGTGAACAGCGCGCGGGGCAACACTCGCCAAATCCCCGTGCGAAGGCTAAATCCAGCGACACGCGATGCTTGCTGGATTGTTCGCTGGATGGAAATACTATGTTCTGATTGGTATATTGTCATCCACTTTTGGAAACGCGCCAGTCAGGACGCAGTATTTCTATCCAGCGCGAAAACAAGCATCGTGTGCCGCTGGCTTAATATCATCCCTGAGATTGAGCGCCTTATGTTTCCGGGAAGAGCCGTGAAACGAAAGGAATGGGGATGGTAGTCGGCGAGAGATCCGTGGGAAAATGCAAACCTCAGACCTGGCTCATGCAGACGACATACGTTTCATTTGTATCGTTTACTCGTAGACGCGTAGACTTGTCATTTTAAACCGCGCGAACGTCCTGAATAAAAGACATTCACTTATAAAGACGCGTTCGTCCGGCCATCTTAGCTAACGATCCTTTTGCTTTTTCTTTTCAGCGGAGAGCAAGATCAATCCGGACGTGGTGATTCAGGCGGACGACGTGAACGCGCCGGTCGCCGCCGCGTCCTCGGCCAGCGGTTGCGCGAGCCTCAACTCCTCGACCACGACGACTACGGTCAACACCACGCCGATCTCCACCGCGGCGATCGTGCCGGGCGGTACGCTCACGTCGAAACCCGACGCCAAGTCGCCGGCCTTCAGCTCGCCGGCATCGTCAGCCCAGTCGTCGAACGTGTCGACGATCATCGCTCCGGTGACGAAGGGGGCGAGCTTGACGCCTACGACCTCCGGATCGACCGGCCAAATGGGAATAGTCGCGACGACCGCACAGAGTGCGGAGTCGTCGCCGCAGAAGAAGGGCCCGCCGACCTTCGTTTTCGGGAAACCGATCGCGGAAGCGTCACCGGCCGCTACGTCGAGCCCGTTACCGGGCACTCGCAATACCTTCAACAGCGTCCTCGTCACATCAGCTGGCGCGACTCCCGCTTTACCAACGTTCAGCAATTTCCTCGGGGCCGACAAGACGCCGTCGAGCTCGGCGTTCGCGCCTGTGAGTTCCAGCGGCACGACGAACAGCAAGCTCGAGACCAGCAACGCTGCTGCCATCAGCACAGTCTCGTTCACCGCGGCGAACACTCAAGCAAGTCCCATCTTCGCCTTCGGCGCCGGCAAGCTCTCGGTATCCAGCGCTGCGTCGCTGACGCTAACCCCGAGTCCGCCGTCTCAGTTCACCGGGACGAGGTCGTTGCCGGCTAACACGAACGCGATCAGCGTCAACAGCTTCAACAGCGTAACGAGTCACGCGTCGAACAGCGGCGTCGTGACGACACCGGCGACAACGACGACGTCTGCGCCCCTCTTCAGCTTCGGAGGGAGCGGCGCTGCTCCATCGGCTGCAAAGGCACACGGCATGTTCGGACAGGCCAGCAACGCTCAGCCCCCGAACGTCTTCGGGAGCGTCGCGACGTCCTCGTCCGCGGACAACACGAGCAAATCCTTCAGTTTCACGGCGAACGCGGTGAGCACCACCACGAGCGGCGCCACGCCGGCGTTCGGCTTACCCACCGCACCCACCTTCTCGTTAAGCACACCCGCTACGTCCGGCCCCGCCAACAACAAGCCGCTGTTCGTATTCGGCGCCGGGAGCCTCGCCAGCGCATCGGCCACCACGCTCGCTACGACCGCCAGCGGCGGTGCCTTCGGCACGGTCGGTCACAACGTCGTGCAGACCTTCGGGACGCCCACCACGACGACGGTCGCCGCGCCGCAATTCGGGATACCCGCGCCGAGCAGCGGCCCGCAGCAGTTCGGAGCGGGCGCGACTCCGCGGTTCGGGACGCCCACGACGAGCGGCGCCGCTCCGTTTGGCGCGACCACCACGTCCGTATTCGGCAGCACGCCGGCGGCCGCAACGAGCGCGGCGGGCGTCTTCGGCACGGCCGGCAACAGCCAACAAGCGGTCTTCAGCGCCGGCGGCGCGTCTACCTCGGCTACCAGCAGTGGTATGTTCAACCCCGCGAAGACGACGGCCGCGTCGATCTTCGCCGCGGCGGCCACGAGCAACGCAACCTCGTCGGAGGGCGCGGCCACCTCCGGCAACCTGTTCTCCGGCGGAGCGAACGCGGCAGCCTCCGGCTCGACCGTAGCGGTATCGTCGCAGTCGTCCATGTTCGTCGCGAGCCCCGTCTTCGGGCAGGCCAAGCCGCCGACGACGTCCTTCGGCGCAGGCGGTACCGCCGGCATATTCGGCAACACGTCGACCCCGTTGTTCGGCTCGACCACCAGCTCGACGGCCGCCGGATTCGCCAACAACGTCTCCACCAGCAGCGCCATCGAGAGCTTCGGCGCGTCCGGCGCGACGAACGCGCCGGCGAATACGAGCGTGCCGGCCTTCGGTATCTTCAGCCCCACCGACAGCACACCGGTCGCTCTCTTCGGGGCGAGCCAGCCGCCAGCCGGCGGAGCTTTCGCCGCCTTCGGTGCGCAGAACTCCGCGAGCCTCACCTTCGGCGACAACAAGCCGTTGTTCGGCGCCACGTCCGCCGCTTCCTCGACCGCCTTCGGCGGCTCGCCCATGCCCGCTTTCGGCGCCGACACCGGCAGCGCGAACAGCAACGCGAGCGCCATGTTCTTCGGGAGCAATCAGAAGGACGGGCAACAACAGGCCGCCGGCTTCGGCTTCGCCTCCACCTTCAACGCGGCCGGCAGCAATCCCACCACCGTGGCGGCGCCGGCGCCCTTCCAGTTTGGAGCCACCACCGCGAAGCCAGGTGATTCACTCCGTCACTGATCGAAGCCAACGTCGACGCGTCATAAGTCGGGCTGCACGTTGAGCGAACGAACGACCGACGGATGCAAACTTTTCTTAAAGCGGGAGATGTCCTCCATCCGAGCGGCCACGGGCCGATTTGTTCACGAGGTTTTGCGTCGGAGGAACTTCCTGTCTTCGCGTTACGCATCCGCTGTTCGGCCGTTCTGCGTTCGTTCGTTCGTTCGCAGTGTGCGTCCATCCACGGGAAAAAGAGATCATATATGAAATTTGCCTATATATGACTGTGCATGATCATACGTATATGTCTAAGGTGAGAAAAATACTGTTGTTTACATATTATACGCGGATACAATCGAAGTAAATACACCCGGCTACTTCTCGTGCTTCTGGCAGCGAAAATATCGAATGACATAGCGTCATTTTTTTGTTTGTATAGACATATATATGGTCATATATGTGATCATATTAGGATTGATACTATCATATATATGTGATCATATATATTGGAAGAATGTATATGATTTTATATAATTATATGTAATCATGCATAATCATTTTTTCCCGGCCAGTTATATACGCTGCATCGTGTGTTTGCTGTATATAACTGTTTAACCATTATAACTGGAATTACTTGTGCGATTTTCGACTTTACACGCGGGTGCTTTTCAGTAAGGAGACGCAGATAGATACTGTGTGTCGCATTATTGAACTATAGTGTGTGGCACTAATGGGAACGCAAGTACTTGATGAAACACCTTAATTTCCGACAAAGCTGCTGGTTAGCGATAGTGGCCGCGTTCCGCAGAACGTTTGTTTTGCGACAGTTCGAAGTTTTCTGCGCTGAGATCGGATTATTCCTTTAGATCTGGAAAAATCTCTTGTCTTGCACGAAAAGATACAAGACGGTTCGTGACGATTCCTGCTTTTTCAAATGAGCATCGATAGCGAAAGTGTTAATTGCCACAGATGTGGATGACGCGAGGACGATTGAAGCTCGCCGAAACTAATTAATTAATTTTGGACGGGAAAAATGAGGGATGACAAGTTTGGTGATACAGAAATTGTTCCTATTCTGCGTTCTATTACTTATGTATCGAATTTTTCATATGTCTTTGAAAAATCTGGTTGAAATCATGTCGGAGTCAAATCGTCAGTCGAAATTATATGAAAATCAATGTTCTATTTAATACTTGTAAGACCTCACGATATCTAGAAGATGTTATGTACATATTGATGACCTGGCCGCTACTCAGTTTATGTCATATCCACATCAAGTTGATATATAGATATAACGATTCGATTTGGATATGATATCGACTGAATCGTCAATAATCAGCCGACATTTATGTGTCTTCTACATATCATATAGATAGTTAGGTATTCACTATATTAATTAATTAATATATCCACATGATATTAATAAAAATCATGTCATCTGTCACCAATATAGCATTAATCCTTCCTTACATCATTGAAAAATCGAATAGTTCTCAAATCAAATGATCCAAAAAATTAATCATCGATACCGAATCGATCATCGATTTGTCAACCCGAGTAAGAATGATCCTGCGGATCGATGTGTACGATCTGCTTTAAATATATTCCAAAAAACATCACTCAATTAAAAAGAAAAATTGAGTAATCGAAAGAGGCTAATAAAAGCCGGCACAGTTAATTAGTTGGGAAATTAAAAAATTACTTGACTTACAAAAGCGATGAATCGAGTATTCAAACGTTTCGGTCGTAAGTTTCCTTCTCATTGAAAACTACGTGGGAAAAAGTTCGCGGCATTTCCCTCTGGAATCATTTTTACTTTTCAACATAATCTCCCTGTATACTTCAATACATTCGGTCCAGCGATGCTCTGGTGTTTTTAATCCGTCGCGAGATCTGAAAGAATGTGGCCAAGATGCTCCCGATTTTTCTCCAATTCTGGATGTCCACTTTATATAATAAAATTTAAATACCCACCAACCTGATTACAATTACAAACTTTTTTTCTCTTTTTCAACGAAATATTTTTACCACTGCACGATGTTCCGCTTTCTCCACATTCGACAATGCACGGAGGTGACTTCGTTCGAACAGCTATTTGTGCGTCGCGAATGCGATAAAAAGAAACAGACGCGATACTAATCTCGATAGCCCCGTGCGAACTTGTCGAAAATCACACGAGAAGTACGATTTCGCTCGCGTCGCACACTTTACGGGGGCGTAATTACTAATTACGTCGTTTAATTTCCAGCGGCGACAGGCTTCAACTTCACCGCACCGTCGCCAACTCCTACCATCAATTTCGGCACGCCCGGCACGCCGGCCTTCAACCCCTCGACCCCCGGCATGTTCAGCATCGGGAGCGGATCCACCGCGCCGCGATCTAGAGCAATTCGCACGAGGAAGCCGAGATGATGGAGAATGTAAACCGCCCGCGTGTCTCTGAGCGCACAGATTTTCGTTGAGGCGCAACGGAGTGTTCGAATTTGTTTTGCGTCGATAGGAAATACAGGCCGACCGGCGCGCGCACGCGTACAGAATCCTCGACATTTTTCTATTTCCGGTGTGAACAGATAAAAATAAGATGTCGCAACAGATTGCACACACACACGCGCGCGCGCGTGCGCGCATACATACACTGTGAAAATGATAAGTAACGTACCGCGCGCTATTCGCCGATGCTTTCAGTACGAGAACGCACACCTCATCATTGTCGAGTGAAACTCGTGTGTGAGTATAAATGTTCTTCCACATTATATGACGGAAATGTATCAGTACGTTAACATGATAATTGCAATTCAACGAACAAGTGAGGTGTGTTTGTGTGTGTATACGAGAGCGTGTATGAATGTATGTGTGTATAATGTATTGAGAAGATTGCTCGTATCTCATGTAAACGAAAGTACCGGGGCGATTGTGGATCGATTTGTACACGACCTGCTGCTTTAAATATATTCCAGAAGCTGTTGAAACCACCTCTCTTTCTCTGTACCATACATTGCACAAGACTAGTGCTACCCGATTGAAAGAAAGGAAAAGAAAAAAGTCGACATAGTCATCCGTCTTTTTTAAAAACTTGTATATGCAGACCGGTATAAGAGCCTTAACATGTAACGAAAGTATGAAATTATTGTAATTTTCTAATCATATATGCGCACTGTTGATTTGTCAGTTATCGATTTTCTTTCAACTGGCGAGAACGATACGTTAGAGAAGTGATCTGTCGCTAGTTTGTCACGATAATGTCCTCAAAAGCAAATATATTATATATATATATATATATATAATTAGAAAATACTAATAATTAGTAACGAAAATAACACAATTACACGGTATGATTAAGGCTGTTACACCGATCCTGTGTACTTGAATGTGCTCGAATTCGTACGGTGCGAAATAACGAAATTACGAAAACTTATTGTTACGTCTCCGGTTACGTTGACACAAGTTTGAATCGTTGAAACCAATACTGTAATATTGACGACTATTAAATTATATATGAAGAAGAAGAATATCTAACTCACGTCGAACATTCTCAACATGTTCCTTGCCACGTGTTCACCGTTTTTGGCGCATACCGAACTCGATCTCAACTGACATTTTTGTCATTGGAAGACAAAATACAAGTAAAATAGAAAAATATATATATATAATAAAACCATGAGAGTGAATAATTTATTATACGTTTATCAAGTTCCACCACATGTATCATTTTCGGTGCACGCGGCATAAATTGGAAGCCGCGTGGAAATGCTTCGGCAGGGAACGTGTTAATTATAATCTCACCTTACAAACGCGCTGTCGAAATCATCGTCTTTCGCAACCAAGCGCTGGGAGATATCAATTATTCGTGTATGTTTATATCCGATTCTCTCTTGAATTTTTTTTCCCCTCGTATATATTGACGCGACTAACGTTCTCCTCTCTCGCAGGTATATACTTTCAGCGTAGATATTTATACTGTGTACGAACATCTTCGAAATATTCAAGGAAAGATATGTTCGTAGGATTTGTTCTATCGTTTGCAGGTAGTGCTAAAATTTTCGAGAAAGAAAATTCTATAGAAATTCTGGATGTTCGCGGTCAGTGACGGTAACTTCTCCGACGTGACTAACGATCTTTTCTCTTGCAGGTATATACGTGTAACTGCAGCATAGATGTATTTATACTGTTCTAATACTTTCAAAATGGTCGAGGGAGGATAAGAGTTCATAGGTTGTCTTATTTCTCGCAGGTAGTGCTAAAATTTCCGAGAAAGAAAGTTCTATAGAAATCATTCTGGATGTTCGCGGTCAGTGACGGTAACTTCACCGACGTGACTAACGATTTTTTCTCTCGCAGGTATATACGTGTAACTGCAGCATAGATGTATTTATACTGTTCTAATACTTTCAAAATGGTCGAGGGAGGATAAGAGTTCATAGGTTTTGTCTTATTGCTCGCAGATAATGTGAAAATTTCTGAAAGAATAAATTCCACCGAACCACTTTGGATATTCGCGGTCAGTGGTGGATGATGATTTCTCAAGATCCGATGCTAATAATATTTCAAAGAACTTTAACTGCTCCTAAATGAATGAAAAAGGAGGACCGAGTTGGAATTTTTTTTCCCCTAGGAGTTTACTATATATCTTTTCCTTTAGCGTGAAAAGTAAAGTTTTCTGATTGAAGCGTATCGAAATGTTTATTTTTCACGAATTCGCATTAATAAAAAATTTATAATCGTCTTCCAGTTGAACGGTCCTGATACTTTCATTAGTTTCTACATAAATCCTCCACCGATACACGCAAATTCCAGAATATTCTAGTAGAGCAAAGTACAAAGTACTGGCCCATTTCATTTTTAGAAACAAAGAGAATCGTAATTTATAGATAAGAAATTAAAAAATTCTGTATATTATTTATGTGTTTGTTTATTGTTTATGAGAATAAAATATCCTTTGTGGTACATAAGTTGTGAGATGGAGGTAAGTGTGTTGGCTTTACATAAAAATCAATAAAATAGGTAAAAATTACAAATTATTATCAAAATGAGAAAGGTACCAATTAAATTATAGCTAGAAACAGTTAAAACATTTATTAAGATGTATGGGTTTGCAGTAGTTGTTCAACAATATGCGTGTCCTGCTCATACAGTTATGTCAGAATATTTTTACCACGTGGCACGATATCCAATATGAAATACTTTTGTATAATCGAAACATTGCGAGTGGTATGCAGAATCGAAATAGCCTTTTGAGAATCGCCAAACACATGGTGTGCGATCATAAATTATTTTTAATAAGAAAGAAAAAGACAAATCGATATTAAATGACATAAATAGCATTTAAAAAAGTTGATTTGCAAAATAGTTTAGTAGGAAGCAATTAAAAGATTTTATCCTAAAAAATTAGAAAGTCGATTAAAAATTTTGAAATTATAGTTTTGAAATTTCGGAAAAAATGGGTTCCTTCCCATTTTTCCGTAGATTTTTTCGGTTTTTTATATATTTTCTTTACAGAAAAAAAAACAGATTTTAACCGAACATACGAGAATTTCTCCAAATGAATTTTTCTACCCTTGAAACAGTAACCGAAGAATTTTGCGAAAAATGGGGAAAAAGCGGGTTTTTCAAAGCCTTCAAAACTATATTCGAAATTATTGTAAAAGAAACAACATCCGTGCGGAAAATTGCCATGCAAATTCTTGGAGTTTCGGTGAGTTCGTGCCAAATTGGTTAAACGTTTTCTGCAATTTCCGATGTCGAGCAGCTTTTGAATATTTTTTGAATTAAATTCTTAATCTGAGTAAAGCTGATTATTCATTTTCAATATATATTTCATAATCTTTCACACGGTTGGTGGGAGATGGTTGGAGGAATTAATTGGAAAAAAAAAGAAAATAGAATCGAAGAAATACAGAAACCACACACTTTGGGGGAAAATATTCCCGGTTTAACGATTCTTTTTACATATATGATACATAATAGCCGCATTAAACGACGTAGGTAAGCTCTTTGAAAACATTTGTATTGCCAAAGATATTACACTGCCGTACATATCCTTAAGGACATGCTCTTTAAGGGGATGTTGCTGTCGTTTTATTTCCTTACAGAAAAGAATTACTGCCTATAATAAATTATTGTTGCCCAGTAATTTTATTACTCATTCGAATAATAAAATTACTGAGCGACAGTAATTTATTACTGACCAATAATTTATCATAGGCAGTAATACTTTTCTGTAAGGGTATATTACAAATTTGTTGGAACTATACTCGTTATACCCTTATAAAAAGTACCACTGCGATAAATTGGCTATTGATAAATCACCGTTGCTCAACAGTTTTATTATTCGTACGAGTAATAGTACGAGTACAGCAATTTATCAGTGGCAAATTGATTAGAGCCAGTAATATTTTTGGCAAAGATACCGGCTGCACAGAATGAAAAATCTTTTTGCAGGATTACAGTGCATACGTTAATGCAGGCGAGGACGGTTGACTTTATTCGCAGAGCGGAAAAAAGTTTCACAACTTGCTGACTTTCTCTCGTTTTTCGAATGAAATTAACCGTTATCGGCTACATTAATGTGCACTGCAATAGTGCAAAGGGACTTTCCGTTCTTTGCAGTCGGTAACGAGTACAATACTAAGAAATTCTCGGCAAAACAGGACGACTGCAGGATCTCCTTGTGGAAAAAAGCTGGCGAAAGGGCTGATGGAAGGTTGATGAAAATTCGAGATCGTTCGAAAGGAAAGTCGCTGCCCCTTCCGTCCGATCGTCGCGCGCAATATCCGCGCGCGCGCGCGCGTCATAAGCGCAACGCGTACACCGTGACGGGCGCGTTGACGATGACGTCGTCGCGCCACTGGTTGGCCCCGTCGGCGGCGTTCGGCGGAAGTCGCGCGTCTCCGAAAGCCCGGGCCGCGCGATTGGTGGCCGCGCGCCGGCGAGAGGCCGCGTCGGCCAATCGCCGGGCGCGTTAGAGGGGCACGCTGTTTTCTCTCGGTTTCCTGGGCGAACAGCCATGTCTAACATCAGACGGGTTCGAACATCACAACCAAGAGGAACGGGAACATCTAGGTTCGGCAGCGGCGTGTATTAACACCTAAACACCACGATGGCTGACCCGGAGAAACAGCCCGAACAACCCAAGGCTGTCCAGCAGAAGTTGGTCATCGGTGAGTGAGCGACAGGATCGCGGCGACATCGCGGTGTTTTCGGGCCGAACGGGCGAGCGAGAACAGATATCCGCGAGGCGGTCGTCTCTTCGCAGTCCGTAATGGCGGCGTGTCCGCGCGCGCTCCCACGGCGTTAGGCTCGCGCGCGCGAGCCACGCGGTCGCCGTACGTCGTCCCGGAGGTGGTGCGCGCCGCGCTTCCTCGTCGTGGCCGCTTCTCGCGCCGGTTCGCGCGCACCTCGTCGGACCTGTGTGCGGTCTCGTGTGAGCAGCCTCGAGCCGGATAGCCCCCGCTGGCCCGCATCGATTTTCGCGCATCGACGCCGCGCGCGCGCTCGTCCTGGGAGATGATGTGCGAAGAGATGCCACGAGGAGGAAGAGTCACGGACGGAACACGGGAAAGCGAGAGAACGTAGCGGCCACCCAACGCCGGCGAGAGACTCTTCGCGCGCGATCCCCGGAGAGCGCCGATCCGGAGCAGCAGCCGCGCGCGCTCTCCACGTTTCGCGTTATGTAAGAAGCGCGCGCGGCGTGCTGGCCGATTCGCGGGAACACGTGCGTCGCGGCATCGTCGAGTTCTTCCCGGGTTCTCTCTCCCTCTTTGTTCCGGCTTCGGCAAAAATCCTCTGCATCCTCTTTTGTACCGCGCCTCGCGAATACGCGGGATCGAAGCAAGAGTGAGAGAGAGACATACATACATACACACGTGCTCTGCACCACGCGAAGCTCGCGACAATTTGCGAAAGGAAGCTTATTCGGTAAACTGTGCGAGAGAGTCCGGTCCAGAGGGGAATCTCGTTGAGATTTACGAATTTTCTCACGGCCGGACGAGAGAGGGAGAGACGCATCGTTTCGGGAAAATATGTGTCACGGTTTCCTGAAACAAGTAATGCCGGGGGAGACGGAGGGCCACGTGGTCACACGGGGTTGCACGTGGTAAGGAGAAAACTGCTCTTTGGTTTCCGGACGAAATTTCGAGCGCCTGTGATATCTGTCCTCATTCTCGCATTTCGTTCTCCGATTTCGATTTTGTTTGGATTCCTCTCCAAGGTCGTCGCGCGCGCGAAACTGTTGTCAAGTTATACCCCAGGCCTTATCGTATTTTCGTCGGGGGATGCGAGAGAGAGAGAGCAACGCACGCGCGCATCGCTCGTCTCAACGGATTTTATTCTCTCTCTCTCTCTCTCTCTCTCTCTATTTGTCCCCTGTAGATTCTCCGCCCGCGAATTCCGACCGATCTTGAACAGAGAAACGCGAAAACTCCTACGAATTCGTGAGAAACCCGACGATTTGTTAGAGCGATATCACCGACTCTTTCTCTCTCTCTCTCTCTCTCTGCGTTCATTTGTATTGTTTCGTCTCGCCCAATCGCGTGTTTACACATTTCGATTTTCGGATTAGCTTTAACGCGCTGCATTATTCTCGGAAACATCATTCGTCACGAGAACCGAGGACCATTCGACCGTTGAGTTTCGATTCGGGAATAGTTGCCGGCTCTTGTAAACACGTGGCAATAATACACGAGTCCACACACCGTCGGATATATCTATTATTCCCTTCTCCAAGGTCGCCATGGTACTTTAGTGCGCGATAATATGTATGTCCGATAAGCGTTCTCCTGCTCTCTTTCTCTCGCGTGTATCGCGACGTTCACGAAATTTTCATTCGCGCGATTTATCGGAAAATTTTCGTCCACGCCAAGTAGGCGCGCTGTATTCTCTCTTTTAATAAATCACTTTCGCGTCTATAATCATACTTGAAATACATACTTATACATATTATATATTGTACATATATATATTATATATTGTACATATAAAGTTTTATATTACACATTACGTATATATATATATAATACATATATTGTCATGTATTATATGCAAGTCTATATTCTGAACTCACTTTTATCAGTCAAAGTGAGTTCAGAATATGGAGTATTATGTGTTTAAAGTATGATAATATATGTGAGAATCATTTACATTTGCATATGCATGCGCAATCGCTCGATTTTGCATTTTATCGTATCAATCACACGTTATTTTTGCGATTTCAGCTAACAAAGTGACCGGGACTGTTAAATGGTTTAACGTCAAGAGTGGATACGGGTTCATCAACAGGTCAGTAATCATTGCTTTGCAATTATCCTACTATCCTGTCCCTTCGGTTCTCTCCCCCTCCCCATCCCCCTTTTTTTGTAATTATTCGCTCGTCATCAAGAAACTACCGAACGAGAAAGGATACGTGTATACATCTATCTGACCGCGTGGGTGTGGGGGCTTAGTCATGCGCTATTAATTTAAACGCCTATTTCTCGCTACAACCGCGAGCGTCTTGAAGGGACGTCTTGTGTTCACGAACCGTCGCATTTCCGACGAAAATCTCCCGAATGCGTTGCGAATGCATCCTAAATTAATCATCTCCCCGTCGCGACGCGCATTGATCATTTTCTTTCGCAGCGAATCCGCTTAAAATCGCCGTTCATCGTCGCGTGTTTTGAATAAATCAATTTCGCGACTTCCGCCGTGCGTCGCAAAATAATGCAGTCGAAATGTGTAACCGGCTTTCTCATGCTCGTGACTGTGTCCGGCGGGAAGAGTTGAAATTGTCATCGGTGTGCGTTAACGTGCATCAACGTCGATACCCATGGTCTTAGTCATATCGGGCAAGTAATCTATGAGTCTCGGCCGTAAGTTCAAGTAAACTTTCGATAAATTTTGAAGCAAGGTAGATAAATCTTGGTTCGCTTTCTTCCCGGTCGACGATATGTTCCGACGTTATCGACGTTTCGTTGTCGTCATCGTGTCGGAATTTCAGGCTCCGTCTACGCAAAAGAGAAGTTTACTAATAAATAATTGAGATAATTCGAAAAATCGATAAATTATTTAAGAAATCGATTCATCAAGAACTGGCTTTCCCAACGGACAGTGAACGTGAGACTATGATGCTTGACACGATATTACTACTATTATTGTTTCACTGTATTTATAATTATCTTTACAATTTTATTTACATTTCTTTAATTTATCATTTAATTTTTCATTTGTTTATTATTTCATTCGAATTATTATTTAGTTTGATTTGATTCAATCTAGATCTCTATTCACTATTTATATCACTACAGTGGTCAACACAAAAATCGTATCTATCCTGAATCTAAACCGTCAATTTTAATGAATTTCATAGCGTCGATCGCAGATATAAAAATTAAAATTTAGCTTCTAATTTTCACCATGCAACAAACAACATCTAAAGAAAATTTGATATTTGAGGCTTTTGTGATGCGGAGAAAAGGGGATTTCTCCAAAATCATTTCTTAAAGCTAATTTTTCCTTTGAAATCATGTGTATAACAGTCTTGTGTGGGAGCTTATGAGTGAGATATATCTTTTTATTTTCTGTAGAAAGATAGAGATTATTTGTATTTTTTCGTTGTGTAACATCCTTTATTTCGGGACCGTTAAAAACGCTTAATAACGTAACATTTAAAGAGAATTTCATCCTTTCTGGCAATATGAAACGTAAGAACAAGAAATTATGGTGAAAATTATCCCGTTTTATTTTCATACTTTATACTATTAATTTACAAAAATTAAAATTTAGCCTATGTTTATTGAAAGCTAATTAAAAATAGCCGAGTAACTTTCTTTCATTGTCATTCTCTGTATAAACACTGACATATAAAGAATGGAAAAAATTAAAATTTATAAAGAACACAATTCATTGTGTGAAATTTGTTGATCGGTCGTTTTTTTTTTCCATTACGTCTCTGCGATACAAACGCTAGGATCTAGGACGCGATCAGCCGGTCCCGAGCGCGCATAAGGGAAATACTGGCCGCTAATATTAGGAAAACCGTCGGTCTCTCGCCGCAGGTTCGACCTGCAACCTCGACCTGGCATTCTGCCGCACGGAAAATAGACACCTCATTCGGCACGTGCGCGCGGCCACAGGAGCGGCGCGCAGAGTCGCTTCCTCGCTATTTTCGAGGTCCCGTCGTTTATGCCTGGCCGCGCGCCAGAGGAAATCCTCGGCTCGAGTCGCGCGTCCGAGCCGGTAGCGCGCTCGGTTCCTCGCGATATCGCGCGGAACCTCCGGACAGACGACTAGCGCGCGTTTCCGTCCGCTCGCCGCTGACGAGTCCGCCGGTCAAAGCGGGCTCTTTCGCGGCCGGGGAGAAGGGCTTACGTCATCGTTGTCGCTGTCACGACCGGAAGGAAAAGAAAAGGGGAGGGAAGGAAAAGTTTAGATGCAATAAAAGGAACAAGGAATTAAGCATAGGAAATTAGGAACAAGCTATAGTAGTTCAAAACACAATAAAAGGGAATGGAGAATAAGATATATATATATATATATATATATAACAACATTTTTAAACGAAAGATCATATAACAACATTTTTAAAAGAAAGATCATTTTTATTATATATATAAAACCGCTTTTATTATATCTATTTTTTTCTAAGGAACTTTTACTGTCATCATTAACACTTTTGCCATTTTCTTGATAATTATCGATTGATTCAGATTGACTTTCGTTTATATATTGATAATCATTAGACACTTCAAAAGTTAACTTTCGGTCAGCCACTGAGCCCTGTAAGCTCACAAGTTATAAGGAACAGAATTTCGACTGAGCGTTCCTAATCGTAGTTACTTGTATTTTTATTGTGAATTGAAGCATGTGTTCTCCTTGTGTCGAAATTTAATTCCCTGTTCCCGATTCTTTATATTTAGTATTTTCCTCCATATTCCATTCATTGTGTCTGAGCCTCCTAAAACGCAATAAAAGGAGTAGAGAATAAGATATATATGCATATATAAGAACGTTCTAGTGAAATCATCATTTTTACTATATATTTCCAATAGATCTCTGCTGTCACCATTGACGCGTTTGTCAGTTCGTTGATAGTTATTGAATTGGCTCAAACTGACTTTCATTTGTACATTGATGATCATTGGACATTTTGAAGATTAACCGTCAGTTAGCTATCAAGCCTTATAAGCACACAAACTATAAAGAATCGAATTTCGACAGTGTTCCCAATCTTGATTCTCTCTTCCTTTATTGTAGATCGAAGCATGGCCGCCCATGTGTCGAAATTTAATTCCTTCTTCCTAACGGCCTGTATTTAATTGTTCGTTCCTCATTTCTTTCATTATGCCCGGGCCCGAAGGATGTTGCACGCCTCGCTCTCTTCTCGCCGCCGCCGTGTTGTTTGTTCCCTCTTTTATCGCCGGAAAACGCTCTCACGCGCCATCGCGCTCGGCCGCGAACAAGCGTGCACCTCCTCACCGGGAGCTCCCGAACGCGCACTTTCACCGGCTCCGGCGGGCGCCAACGCCGCGAAACGTTAGAAACCCGGCCCGTTACGACGCGGCCGTTTGTAAATATAGAACGCTTTCGTTGAACCGTGCCAGCGCGAATCGCCCGGTGTTTTATACTTGTACTCGGGGAAAAAATCACGATTCCCGCGGCTGAGCAGGGCGACACCAGATGGGAAACTCACCGACGAGAATTGATATCTCTTTCTGTGTCACCGCGATTTGAGAACAGTCGCGTGAACGTTCAAATGAGCATTTCAATCAATCGGGATGACACGGGCCAAGATCGAAGCCACTTGTTTCGCGTTGAAACCCGGTTGAAACAACCGAGAACAATTGGTCGAAACCTCCGGTAGGAATCTGTTTCTATCCTCTTCCTTTTTCTGTATACAAACGAGTTTTCGTCTGGTCCAGCAGGGCAACGAGAGATTCAGTTACACCGGACCGGAGTTGTTTCTTCCGTGGGAAAGAAACTTCAGTTCCTAAACAGGGTGAAAACTCGGTGACGAGAAGGGAAAACGAACAAACGATATGCAATACCGGTGGACAATAATTCGTTCTTTCTTGTATATATTAAAGCAAGAGAGTCTCAAAGATACTCGCTCAGTTCTAACTTGACCGAACCGGAAAAATGTCAAATTGATTACTGAAAAGTTAGCACTTGACCAATCGGGATAACACACTGAGAAAAAGATTTCTTCGAATTTAATCAATCTTACCACATCCAAACAAATTTCATCATTGGCACGCACCAAAGAAATTCATGTTTCGATTAATAAGCACGATTGTTAGACTCTTCAAGGAATATGTATCTTTTGCTGTGAATTATAAGTAGAATCAAGTGTTTCGGACAAAAAGCTGAAGACTTAACTCTTGTTACAGACCCTAAGGTGCGCTTTTTCGCGTGCTCTTCGCGGCGAAGTTCACATACACTTTGGTCTCTTTCCGCGGTATGGTTTCATGAGCGCGTTTTCCCTTTTCCGTGCTTGAAGGAACGCCGTTGATTAACACGACTTAGAGCATCCGCGCGAAAACCGTTCGCACGTCGGTCTCATCGCGGTAATCTCGTCGGAAACCTTACGGCCGAGATCTGAATGTAGAAGCGAGAGGAAGCCGTTTTACGATAGATAGCCGATAACAATGGCGAATAGAACCTAACAGCAGCACCACCGAGCGATCTCGGAAATGTTTTGGACTCGAGCTGCTATAATCGTGTCTTAGAAATGATAAATTGATAATTGATAGATAGATGCACGGAGAAACAAGATTGATTGAATTAACGTGTAATCGAAGGAGCCAAATGTTTTTGGCCGAAGATAACCGAATTTCTGGTTCTGTAAGAAGCCAATTTGGTTCGTAAGACCCCGAAATTTTGTTTCCTCCGATCAAAATCGCGCTTACTTCGTTCATCTCGCCACGTTAATTCAACCAAACTTTTTCCTTTATGCACAGAAAAAAGGGTTTCTTTAAGTTAGTATTTCTATTTATTTGACTAAAATTTGTTTCATAGAAACAATATACGCGAAATATTATTCGTTTGAGTAAACATTGTATTGTCTCATTTAAGAAAACTCGATTATTCAACAAGAAGAACGCTATTATTTAAGAAATTATATAAGAAATTATATCTTTTAACCAAATAAAATATTATTTATTTGGTTACAATAAATGTGTAAAATGAAACGAATAATTTCTTTATAAGAAAATTACCTTTTGTTTCAAACAAATTTTTTATTTAATGTAAAGATACATATTCGTTGAAAAGTCTAACAATCGTACTTGTTAATCGAAACATTCGTTTCTTTGGAGCATGATGAAATTTGTTTGGGTGCAATAAAATGTATCAAATTCGAAAAAAATTTTTTTCTCAGTGTGGATAGATGTCTATGAAACACTTTGGGATCTCAAGTTCTAAAGTGATACAGATTTGTATCAAAATACGCAGTTACAATGCACGGAAAAGGAAGATTAGCTGAATTAACGTGACAATGAACGAACTGTGAATACGTTTTGATTGAAGGGAATTTCCGGTCCTAAGAACCGAATTTAGTCCGTAAGAACGAAATTCCAGAACCAAAAGCGAGAAATTCTATTTCCCTCAACGTTAACGCGATCAGTTCGCTCATGGTAACGTTAATTCGATCGATCTTTTTTTTTTCACGTAGAATTATAAAAAGGAATTAGAATTTAATGGCCCTTATCGACAGCCCATTGCTCATTCACCGGGTCCGTCCTCCAATTCGACGAGCTCGGCTTTACCGTAATGGGAAAGTAACGCTCCATTTCGATACCCATTGAATCATAGCTCGATACTGGCTGTTCGGCATCGATCCATGTTGCGAGACGTACCGGTTCACACTCCAAATCTGTGCACCCTTCGACGTTTATTGGTCCCGAACTCCGCGGAACCGAGGGAACGAAGTTCGAATTACTTGTAATCGGCTAACGCGCGCGCGCTCGAACGCGAAATAATGAGGACATCGCGGCGAATGAACAGTTCGGTTGGACGGTACTGTATAAAGCGAATGTAACACTAAGCAGTAGTTAAACCGCTAATGCATTTGCCGAGACTCAAGGCAGATCTCAAAGGGAGGTGGTCCGATACTTCAAATGTCTACCGGATAACGCAGGCATCCGATGAAATAGTTATTATTAATTAATTAATTAATATTTTGTTTCGTCGAAGGTAGCCGAAGTGGGACCGAAACGTTCGACCAATTTAATTTAATTTACATGTTTAATTAACTTGTAAGCGTGTAGATGAAATAACCGTTTACGTGTCAAAATCGTTACTTATAGATCGGCGTTAGGCTCTTATTTGCCTTGTGGTGGACTTGTTTTTATATTGAAATTAAGACGGCTCATCAAGGATCGGAAGTCAAGTTAAAATCACGTCAGATCAAATTGGAAATAGTTAGATAATAATATGTAATTTACAATAATTATATTATAATTGGCCTCCTGGTCGCTTCGAGCGTGCATGGAGACGAGAAAAATGATCAGTTGAATCCATGTGCACTGAGAGAAAAATATATAAATATTATTTTCCGGGACAGCGATATCTTTTTTTTTTTATTTCAGCCAAATTTATTTTTACAAAAATAGTAGTAGCAACGTGCACGTAAATTACCACTGACGCTGTAGTAATATTTAATAGAAAAATAGTTTTCTTGATCATTTTTGCGGTTAAAATGAAAAAAGGATTGTCGTCCCCGAAAAGAATTATATTTTTCTCTCAGTGTGTCGAATTAATCATTACAACGATTGTTGAATTAACCAAACGCGTTTCGGTCGAAGGAAATGGAACTTTTGGGCTCTTACAGCCGAATTTTATTCGTAAGAAAATTCCGTCTCCCACGATCGAGACGCATTTGGCTCGCTCATTGTCGCGTCAATTCTGACCGATCTTTTTCCTCCAATGTCGCATATATCGAAATGGGGATTAGCGGCGTTACAAAATCGCTCCTGGTTCCTCTGGCGATCGTGGTTTGCGCGAGAATGTACGGTCGCGTTCCTGGCGGAATTAATTATTACACGACGGCTAATCAGGGCGCGATCATCTGCCCAAGGGAAGTATCGATCTTGCGAAATTCGCCGTGTTTGGCCGCGAATTTTGATCTCCGCGCACCTGATCCACCTTTTGTTGACGCGCACGAAAGGGGGGGAGGGGGCTGTTGTCTAGCTGGCGGCAGCTGGCGTTTGTGTACGGCTGCATCCTCTCTCTCTCTCTCTCCCTCCCTCCCTCCCTCCCTTCCTGTATCTCCCTCTTCTCCCTTTACTGCAGCGCGCCCGCGGGGTTCGACGACCTCTCAACTCCGTGCTTTGCTCCGCAGCTTCATGGATTCCGATTACGTCCGTACGCTCTCGCGAATTCATGCGCGAGCGCGTGCGAGAGAGAGAGGGGGGAGGGAGGGGGGTGTGCGTGCGCTACATACCCGCGACATGCTGTATTGTGCACTCGCGCGCGGAACTTCGCGGAGAATGCAGACGGACGTCATACTGACATGATTAAGCGAAATTTCTGCCACGCCATTGCGCGCACGGCCGTTAAATAGGTAGGACGGGATTATACGGGGGCGGTTTTTCCCGAATCATACGACGAAACTTCCGTACGATTCTCATCTGAAACTTACATTTCGGGGAGCTGATCGGGCGCGTTTTGCAACAATTCGTTGTTCCACGGTCTCGAGGAAAAAATATATAATGTGTTACGCAGGATGAGGCAATAGCTGTTACCGGCTTGAATATCTTCGAGGTATCAAAGCAAGAGAGAGAGAGAGAATGTATCTGATAAGTCGCGTTAATACCAGTGGTCATCAATTCGAAAATTCTAGTCGATGAAATATTTTCATTTTTCGAAATACGAGAATAGGAGAATAATTTATCCAATAAAAGTCGCATTAGTACCAGTGGTCATCGCTTCGAAAACCATCGAATCGTTGATCAAATATTTTTATTTTTCAAAATATGAGAGTAGGAGAAAAATTTATGAAACAGAAGTCTCATTGATATCAGTGGTCATCAATTCGAAAATCTAGTTGTTAATAAGATATTTTTACTTTTCAAAGATATTCAAAGTGGTAAAGATTTGTCTCACCTTATATAATAAAAGAAGAAACGTGAGTATTAATCGTGGGCAAATTTCAAACGCTAGTTTTATGTTACTCATGTGAGAAAACGAATATCCATCATCTTTAACGCAACTCTTGTTTTCGATTGTTACAGGAATGACACCAGAGAGGACGTGTTCGTACATCAAGTAAGTTTCTCACATTCCAAATACACTTAGGTCTCTCTTTACCCGATGGATGCGTGCGGTGCAAGAAAAACCGCGTAAAAATTGATTTGCAACAAAGTATAGAACTTTTGTTAAAGTAACGCCAAACTATATAAAAAGCAATTTTTAAATATGAAAATGCATTCACTCTGAAAATATTTTATTTAATAAACACATCAAAGAAAAGTTATTGTGTTGAGGAAGATGAAAAAAAAATTCTTTTAAAAAATCAATATTTTACAAAAAAAGAATCGCATAAATGTGAATAAAACGTGGTAAAAAGATCGCGTAAAAGAAATAGCGTGTAGAAAGAGACCCGAGCGTAAGTGTAACGAAGCTAAATCAGCTGTTAAAACTTGCGCGTGCGGTGCTGAATGTTACCTGTGCTTGCAGTCGGCCATCGTTAAGAACAACCCGAGGAAGGCCGTGCGTAGCGTCGGCGACGGCGAGGTCGTGGAGTTCGACGTCGTCATCGGCGAGAAGGGTCACGAGGCGGCGAACGTCACCGGGCCAGCTGGTGAGGCCGTCAAGGGTTCGCCTTACGCTGCGGATAAGCGCCGCGGCTATCGTTCCGCACACTGGGTATATCCGAGACGCGGCAACGGTAGACCGCAGCGCAGACCCCGCGAAGGCCAAGAGGGCTACGAGTCAGGTACGCATTATCGGCAGTATCCTAGCAGCGTCCTCGTTATTAATAGTCCACGTCTCTCACGGATAAAATATACACAAGATAACGCGAGTTATCTTACCAGAGGAATCAATGTGTGTGTGCGTGATACCTTGCAGGATTTATGTCCTCTCTATTAATAGTCCGCTACCTCGGCGAAGCTGTTCATTGTTTCATCCACAAACGTGGACTTGATGATCGGAATCAAATTTCCAGGCGAGGCGAGAACGACCGACGACGCGAATGCGGCCGAGGGTGGTGGCCAACAGCCGCAACAGCAGCGACGCTACAGGATGCGTCGCCATTACGACGGCTACTACCGCGGAGCACGGCGTTCCGGGCCAGCTCCCCAGCAAGGCGAGAACGGGGAAGGCGGTGAGCAGGCGGAGGGGACCGGCGAGGGGGGCGCCCCACCGCGTGGTGGTGGTCGAGGACGGGGCGGACCGTCGCGGCGCTACTTCCGCCGCAACTTCCGCGGAGGAAGGGGTGGTGGACCCCCGCGGCGTCCTCGCAGCCAGGATGGCCAGGTGAGAGACGAGGTTTGACCAAGTAGCTCCGGATCCTCTTCTCCTCAGGCGTATCCGGGCGTTACCGATGAGCGGGCCGACGAGAGAGAGAGAGATCTCCCCGAGTCAAGTGTCCTCTTCTCGGCTGCGATTCTCGACACCCGTTCCCCATCGTGTGTACAGTTACCTCCGGATCTTCTTCTTTGCTTCCTGGACTTCACTTCGAAACTGATAAACCGCATATTTTCGTCCCGTTTTTTTTCCTTTTTTTTTATATTCTGGTTACAAATGATGAATAAAGTGTCGAGTCTGAATTGGTCATCTGAATCTGCACGGTCTTTTTTTTTCTTCTTTTATTTTTTTCTTTATCTCGAAGCGATACTTCGGTGAATCTCACCTTAGCCGCGCTTGCCTCGCCCCCTCTTGTTTCGTACCTTCGGTACGGATTACGCTTACGGACACGGATTCACGGATAAAAGTCCTTCCTTTTCTCTTTCCGACGCGTCATACCGCGCACGGGGAGTACACGCGTGTCTTGTTCCACTTGCTAGTCCATGTTTTCATCCTCGACGCGATACGAACGAAATCCACATCGGTCTCTTGGTCTCCGAGCGAGTTTCTCGCCGGGTTGTGTCACATTGCTACGATTGCTAGGTAACCGACGGTGAGCATGCGGGCGAGGCTGGCGGTCGTCAAGCAATCGGTAATTCGCAGACGAATCCACGACCGCGATACAGACGGCGATTCCTGCGACAGCCTCGCGAGACCACCCTGAGAGACCAACGGACGAGCGCCGTGGAGAATTCGCCATCCTCCGGCACTCGCAAATCCAATTCCGCTCCTGCTCCCTCTTTGCGAACGCAAGCCGCCGATATTCCTCCCGAATCCTGCGATAAATCCTGCAAGGTATCACGCACATACACATTGATTCCTCTGGTAAGATAACTCGCGTTATCTTGTGTATATTTTATCCGTGAGAGACGTGGAACCAATTTCTGCGAAACCATGATTCTTGTACGGGGCACTCGCACGGAAGTTCATCATCGCTCGCTGTATCTCGCGAATCGCTCTAGCTTCACCCTATATACAGCCCCCGGCCATATTATTAGACGCACTTTGATGCTTTAATAGAATACAGATTAGGAGGAGGAGAGAAGCTACTAATTTTACTTTTACTCGATTAGGATAATTTTCGCTGTCAAACAGCACTTTTACCTATGAGGCGTCGAATAACTTGTTTCACCCATAATTTAATATTGTAAACAATATTAATATTTTTCACGCAAGGATTTATTTTCCCGTTAGTAAGCAAGGAATCTGGAAGTTTCAAGTCACACAAGAAAAAACAGAAATCGAATTAAATTTCAATTTGCACACGCTCAAAATTCACGTCTGTTCTCGTTATTGTTAACAATATGCGACTAGCGCGGGTTCATGGTCACTGTAACAGCCAAGCGAAGTGACGCCATAAAAAATATCTTTTATAGAATAATGATTCCTTAACATAACTCGATAGATGAGGCGTATTATAAAACTAGTCCTCGGAAGCCTATGATAAGTAAGTCGGCTGTAAGAAATTTAAGGCGCGTCTGATAACATGGACGGTGATTATATGTACATATAGATACTATTATCTGTAAATATCTGTTCTTTCGTCAACGGATTGCACTGGTCGGTGTTCTGTTTCCTTTCTCCCGCGTGCATTCAACAAGGCACCTTGTAAACACGAGACACATATCGGGAGCTGTCCGACGTGACGCCTCTTTCAACGTCGTAGAAGATCGAGATGATAAATCGAAAACGGTCCAGAGAGAAACGGAGAGAGTTTTGTTGAGGTGTATACACTAAAAGTGACTTTTATTAAATTCGGGTTAAACTGATTGATGAATAATACAATGAGAATTGCCGATCAGTTTTCACTTCCGTAATTTGTCGTTCAACAATAATGGATAAGTTAATAATTTCCGTCCGCGTTAACAAGATAGAACCGGCGACAGTTGATGACCGACGGCGCGCAATTTTAAATCGTTAATTATGTTAATCGCAACTTGGTAAAAGCCACCCTAAAGGTGACTTTGGTACACATACTGATGCCTGTTTCTGTTATCATCGTTTAAATATGACCGACGATTAATTAATATTAATTCGACAGAGTTGACGAATCGCATTGATCAATTAGTTTCAGTTCGACTGATCAATGCGATTTCGATCAATTTCGTTAATTGTCAATTAGATTTAAACCATGATGGTAAGAACGGGCTAAGAATGACTTTCATTAAACTCAAATTAAACTAATCGATGAATAATAAATAAGAATTGTCAATGTCAATTTCCAGTTCTGTAATTTGTTCTTCAACAATAATCGAAAAGTTCACTTCCGTTCGTGTTAACACGATAGAGCAGATGATACTTGATCGACGGCAGTTTTCGGATCGTTGATTAGATTAATCCGAATTTGGCGAGAATCATCACTCTAAGAATGACTTTTACCAAACACCGATTAAAGTAATCAATGAATAATAACAAGAACTGCCAACACCAATTTCCAGTTCTGTAATTAGTCGTCTAATAATGATCGATAAGTTAATTTCCATCTCAACGTTAACGAGAGTAATTAATACTAGATTGACGGCAATTTTAAATTCTTGATTAGATTAGTACTAGAGCTTAGTGAAAGTCACGCTAAGTGTCATCCACGTCTGATCACTTGCTAGATCCAGGATTACCAAGGTTTTCTACAAAATGTATTTTCGCGTATTTTGACCGTTGATTATTCCAGAAAACAATAATGATACTTCATAGATACTTCAATTATTTCTTTTTTTTTTACGTATAATTCCCTTTATCTTTTTTTTCTACACGTCGAATGTTATTCTCACCGAATAACATTCCAGATATCATTGTTGTTTCTTTAATTCGACCGTCACAATACACGAGAATCCAACGTTTCTCTAAGTAGTCCTGTATCGAACGGAGGTGGTCAGGCATCAATGATGCCTGATCCCTTCATGTACAGACGAGAGGCAGTTTTCCGAACACGCGGTCCGTCGACGAATCTTCTACATGAATACAACCGTAAACGCTTGGCGCACACTGTCTGCACTTTCTTTTTGTACTCTTTTCAGTCGGAGCAGAAGTCGGATGCACCTAAAGATACGGATGCACCTGCCGCTGCCCCTGCTCCACAGGTAACGTTGCTTTATTCTCCCCTCTATCCGGTCTCGGGCGTGGGAACCTCAGTTCTTACTCGTTTAACGCACCTACACCTCTGCGGCATTGAGCGTCGATTGAGTCAGTCCTTGCGATTTATTTTCTTTCTTTCCCCGGTTTTCCTACTTTCGTATCGTACGTTCCCTCGAGAAAGTCCGCGCTCCTTACGGATTGTAATAGCATAGTTCGACATTCGGAGCTCTCTCGTGGCTTGGAGCTGTGTCTTTTTTTTCCCCCCCTTTTTTTAGTCCCCAACGTCTCGTGAACATTTCTGTATCGATATCAGGGTCGCTCCTGTCACCGATACCAGATGAATCGAAGTGTTCGCGTTAGAAACGAATCCCACGGAATCCGCAATCCTCCGATTCGGGAGCGAAATCCAACGTAGTCGTAGTTTTCTCGTCTACAATGATACTATCGGGGACAGGATCCCGCAGGATCCTTAATGGAAAATGGCTTTTGGCTAAATTTTCCGAAACTGTGCTATATGATTGGTTCTCCCGACGCATCGATCAAAAGTGTACGATGGGCGCAAAGTCCGGGAAAATTGTAGCTTTTGAATCACAGTCGTTCGAAGTTCGCGTTTCCGTGCATTTTGCAGCAGTATGCGGTGCTGATCATATAAAATGGAATGGGAACCCGCATATACGTTTTCCCACATTTCCCAGATTCACATGCAAGAAAAGGATCATTAATAAAATAACAGTAACAGACCTCATAACCATGTTCCCGAACTTTTTGAACACCCTGTATATTTGTATATACATGCGATTGTAAAAAAACAATACAAATATGTACGTGTATGTAACTCGAATTCTTCGAAATTAAAAACTATAATTTTTCCGACTTTGCGCCCGTTGAGACACTTTCGATATACACGTCGAGAACTACTATGAAGCACAGAGTTTCGGAAAAGTTAGCCGAAAGCGATTTTCCACGGGGATTATGCGGGGAGTCCTTCGGTGCCGGCTTCTTTTCTTCGACGGAAATACATGCGCATGCGATTACGATGGACACTCGAGCGCGCGCGCGTAACCGCGACTTCCACATCCGCGGCTTCCACCGCAGACGTCTAAGTAAATAGCAAGTAACGGCCGTCGACGTGTTTGCAGGAGAGCCAACCGGTGCAGAACACCACCACCACCGAGAGCACCGCCTAACCAAGAGAGTAACGCTACACCACCAGCAGGACACTCCTTTTGAATATACAACACCAACACCCGTTATACACTAAACAGCAGCAGCAACAGAAACAACAACAACAACAGCATCGCAAGAACAAGAAAACATCAACCAAAAAAAAGCTAAAAGAATCGCAAAAAAATATTAAAAAAAAAAAGAAACCAACAAACACTACTCCACACTCTCCCCCACGGAAGTAAATTAATAAATTGTAGAGTGAGCACGGGAATCGGGGAAGGCGCCCACGGAGGGGGACGAGCGGGGAGGGGGAAGGCACGAGACAGCCCTTCCGTGCGCGCGCTCGCCGATTCCCGTCCGTCTCTCTCGACTTAAGGGATGGTTAGGTTGTAAGAGCGAACTGTGACCGGTCGGAATGCGCGTTAAGGGCGAAGAAGAGCGAGTGCGCGTACACACAACGCGACGAACGCGGAAGGGTAAAGCAATTACACACACACACACGCGGAGTGCACGGAGCGATGAATTCGAGCGCGGCGAGGAAAAACATATATCTCGAAATATATGTATCTTTTTTTTTTTTGGAGTTTTCGTTTTTTTTGTGCATTTCTTGTTTCGTACGTTAATAATTCTGATTTCTCTTCCGGCGGAGGTGGGCTTTTGAAATCCGTTTTC